TTCACCTGACATACACAGACTGCCGTGAGATGCATTTCACCAACAGCTTTATAATCCCTAGATCCACCTATCCAGTCCCAGATGCACCAGTGGCTGTCTGGAAGCTAATGTTGAACACGTCTTCCAGGTGCTCCTGGAGACCACAGGGTAGGTCTGGGAAACCAGGGTAAGAGGCTGAGTGTTGAATGAATAGCGGTGTCATTTTGAGCAGATTCCCTTTGTCCTTGTATGGACCATCTTAGGGCGATTTATTGCTGTCTCCTGGTATATGCTTTGGCTTCTGAGAGATGGGGGCAATTCTAACTCTGAGAGCTTGAGTTTCTTGCCCAACTTTTTTTTGGATAATCCTTACCTGAGGGTAATTTTTTTTTTTTTTTTTTTTTTTTGGTACGTGCCCCTAGCCACTAGGGCCTAGCGGGAACTGAACCCGGGACTCTGGTCCGCAGGCCGACATTCCAACCGCTGAGCCAAACAGGCAGGGCTCCTGAGGGTATTTTTTCCATTGATTTTTAGAGTGGAAGGGAGAGAAACATCATTGTGAGAGAGACACATCGATTGGTTACCTCCCACATGTGCCCTGACTGAGACCAGGGATCAAACCTGCAACCCAGGTGCATGCCCTTGACTAGAAATCAAACCCCTGACCCTTTGGGGGCCCTGGCCAGTGCTCTAACCACTGAACAACACTGGCTGAGGCTCTTGCCCAACACTTTTTTTTTTTTTTTATCCTCACCCAAGGACATTCCTCCATTTTTTGTACAGATAGAGTGGGAGGGAGAGAGAGAGAGAAACATCGTCGTGAAGGGACACATCGAGTAGCTGCCACCCGCACGACCAACCAGGGCCGGGGACAAACTGCAACCGAAGTACATGCCCTTAGCGGGAACCGAACCCAGGTCCCTCCAGACCGCAGGCCGACGCTCTAACCGCTGAGCCAAACCGGCCAGGGCCCAACACTTTTTTTAAAATGTTTTTATTGATTTTTTTTAGAGAGGAAGGGGGAGAGAGAGAGAGAGAAAGAGAGAGAGAGAAACATTGATTGGCTGCCTTTTGCATGCCCCCTACTGGGGATCGAGCCCACAATCCACGCATGTACCCTGACCAGAAATTGAACTGGGACTTCTCAGACCATGGGACAATGCTTAGTCCACCAGCTGGGCAAAAAACTCTATCTTTAAAATTCTCTTAAGAGCTTTAAAATGTTGGGCAAGCTTGGCCAGTGTGGCTCGGTGGACTAAACATCTTCCCATGGACTGAGAGGTCCTGGTTCAATTTTTGGTCAGGGTACATGACTGGGTTGTAGGCTGGATTCATGCAGGAGGTGGCTGATTGATATTTCTCTCACACATTGATGTTTCTATCTCTCTCTCCTGTCCTCTCTCTAAAAAATTAATAAAAACATATTAAAGCCTTGGCCACTTTGCTCAGCAGTTAGAGCGTCGGCCTGTGGTCCATAGAGACCTTGATTCGGTTTCCGCTAAGGGCAGTACATCGGTTGCGGTTTGTCCCCGGCCCTGGTTGGGTCGTGCAGGTGGCAACCACTCTCTGTGTCCCTTTCATGTTGATGTTTCTCTCTCTCTCTCCCCCACTCTATCTGAACAAAATATCGAAAAAATGTCCTCGGGTGAGGATAAAAAAAACACAAAAACATATTAAAGATAGAGCTTTAAAAATTAAGAATTTTAGAATTCTGATTTCTTAGTTTTCTTTCCTTTGCCAAAGGAATTTATGTTTTAATTATTTTAAACATCCCCTCATTGGGCACAAAGTGGCCAGATTTGCTGCATAAGTGGCTCTCCTGTTGGTCAAGCCTGGTCCTAGGTTCTGTTGTTGGCCCTTTCCCTAGTTACTGCTCCAGACACCCTGCCCCACATCCCCCACACCCATGTCAGGTACTTTGATTTGGTGAAGTTCCTGGTCATGAGTCACTGTTTGATTTTCTGTGTTGAACTTATTACCTTTGACAGACACACCTTTTCTAACTTCTAAGATGTTAAAACTTATGCCTCAGCACTAAGGAGAATGTACACAGATTTGTTTGGTTTTCTTTTTAAATTGTGGTAAAATACACATGACATAAAATTTATCATTAGTGACATTTAGTGCATTCATAATGTTTTACAACCACCCCACCATTTTTATTACCCCAGAGGGAAACCCTGCATCCATTAGTAGTCACTCCCCACTTCCCTCAGCCCTGGCAACGCCACCGCTCTGCACTCTGCCTCCGTGGATTTGCCCAGTCTGGATGTTTCATGTAAATGGAATCATACAATATGTGATCTTTTGTGTCTAGATTATTTCATTGAGCATAAATGTTTAAGTTTCATCCATGTTGTAGTGTATAAGTGCTTTATTCCTCTTATGGCCAAATTATATTCCATTGTGTGTGGAATTACCACATTTTGCTTACCCGTTCATCTGTTGGACATTTGGGTTGTTACGTATAATGAAGCTATGAATATTTGTTTACAAGTTTTTGTGTGAGTCTGTTTTCATTCTTTTTGGCTTAGAAGTGGAATTGCTGGATCACATGGTAATTCTGTTTGACTTGGTGAGGAACCACCAAACTTTTGCACAGCAGCTGCACCATTTTCCACACCTACCAGCAATGTGGGTAGGTCTCAATTTCTCCACTTCCTTACCAACACTTGTCATTTTTTATTTATTTTTATCCTCACCCGAGGACATTTTTCCCCCTTTTTTTTTTTTTTTTTTTTGTTCATCATTTTGTAATTTTTTTAAATTAAAGCTACCCTAGTGAGGATGTATGCAGGTTTTTATTTTATTTTTTTTATTTTTTGTACATGCCCCCACCGGGAACTGAATCCGGGATTCTCTGGTCTGCAGGCCAGTGCTCCAACCACTGAGCCAAACTGGCCAGGGCTGTATGCAGGTTTTTAAATGAATTTTTTTTTTAATTTTTCTTTATTGATTTTAGAGAGAGAGGAAGGGAGAGGGAGAGAGAGATAGAAATATCAATGAGAGAGACCATCGACTGGCCGCCTCCTGCATGCCCCCCACTGGGGATTTGGCACAACCTGGGCATGTGCTCCAACCGGGCCCCAACCCAGAGGGTGACCTCTTGGTGCGTGGGTCAGTGCTCAACCACTGAGCCTCACCGACCAAGCATAAATTGTTTTTATTAAATGGAGAAAAACAGTTAAAGTGAGAAAGTAAAAAGTTTATACTGAAAACATCTTGTCTCTTTCCATCCTCCTTCAGCCCATTCATAGAAGGAGCCAGTCGCTATTGTTTCTTCTGGATTTTACCTCCATTTAACCTCTGGCATATTCTCATTTACCCATTTTGAATCATTGATTTCCTTTTTGTGTAGGTGAGGATTACAACTCACTGTGGCGCATATAATCCCTTCCATTCTCTCAATATACTTATGTTAGTTAGGACACTGGTTTGACTGTTTCAGAAGGATCAAAACAACAAAGATCGTGCCTTCTACAAGATAGAAGTTAGTTTCTTTCTCATATAATAGAATACAAAGAACTCGGACTGATGGTGGTGGTGTCCAGCTTCCAGGGACCATGCTTTTTCTGTCCTGTGGCTTCACCATCTTCAAAAGTGTTTTCCATCTTACTTTCCAGGGCAGCCGCTCCAGGTTTCCTCACTACACCCGCCCAGTGTCCAGCCACAGGGGGCAGAGCAGGGCAGGAGAGAGCATGTTCTCTCCCACGTAAAGGCTCAGAAGTTGTGCATCGCCCCAGTGCCCCCATCCATGCGGCTGTCCGCTTTCCTCCATGTGACTTCTAACATTTTATTTCTATGTTAATAATAATTAGCTAGTGTTTTGAGTGCTTCATATGTGTTAGATACTGTTCTAAATGCTTTCTATTCACTTACTCATTTAACCCTTAAAACAGCCTTCTGAAGTAGATATTGCGCCCGGCCAATGTGGCTCAGTGGCTGAGCATTGACCCATGAACCAAGAGGTCGCCAGTTCGATTCCCCATCAGAGCACATGCCCAGGTTGTGGGCCTGATCCCCAGTGGGTGGCATGCAGGAGGTGGCCAATCATTGGTTCTCTCTTATCGATGTTTTTCTCTCTCTAAAATCAATAAAGAAAAAATATTTAAATAAATAAAGTAGATATTGTTTTCCTTTTACAGATAAGGAAGCTAGGCACAGTCAAATCAAGAAGCTGCCCAGGGCATTCTCAAATGGCCAGCAACAGGCTATGGCTCGTTGGCCCGTGTGGCAGAGTGACGGGAGTTGGGCAGCTATTTTCTACTGTGTTTTGATCCCTTGAGGAATAACCAGAGTGGCTCACATTGACCAAAATTCCTTACTTCCTAGAACAATGACCCTCAGATGGGATGGCAGCAAAGGAGTGGCTTGCGCTGTCTGACCGAATGGACCATTATGAAATGCCACTCCATTCTTCCTTGCTGTTGATTTATCTTCTTTCTCCTGTTTGTGCAAGCTAGTCAACAATGAAATAAACCCAAAGATCACAAATTAACCTTAACAAATTAAAGAAAGAAAGAAAGAAGCAGCTGCCCAGGTCCCATAGTAAGTAGGGGGCAAGGCTGAGGCTCCAGAGCCCACCTTCACTCCCAGTGATTTTAACTTAGGGCCTGTGACCCTCTGGGGACTCCCACCAAGCTGTTCCATCTGTACTTCAGGCTGGCAGAAGGCTGATCAAAGGTGCCCAGCCTATGAGCTGGCAGGACTTAGTTAATATTTAGTGTATGGGCTTATTAAGAGCCCCAGCCCAGCACTGCCCTGCTTGTCCCAGGGTCAGTGGGCAAGACATAATCAGTATATGAATGATGAAAATATTTCCTGTACTGGCTCTGTACAACTGATTTGCCTTTCTGGATTAAAGACCTTCCTTATTGAAATTTTGACACCCTAAACAGTTATTTAGCTTTTATTTTTGGGCCGGTGGCCCATAGTCACCACTGGAACCGTGCTCCTACGACACTGAGACCTGCAGGGCCTTGGAGATCGTAGCTCTTAACTCTCTTGTTCTGTTGCTGCAGTGATCAGAAGGTAAACTTTGGGATGTGCACACGATGGACAGCAAGGATGTAGAAGCTGAAATCCACCCCTTGAAGAATGAAGATGGGAAATTGCAGGAAAATCTGGGAAACCGATTGAAAAAGGAAGATAACTTGAAAAGCGCGCCCCTGCAGTCCCGCCTCTCCAGATGCCGGACGGTGGCATTTTTCCTCTCGCTGTTTATCTGCCTTTTGGTGGTGTTTGTGATTTCTTTCATCATCCCGTGTCCAGACAGGCCAGTGTCACAGGGGATGTGGAGGATCAATTACAACACAGCAGGTGCACCCCCCCCCCCATGACATTCTCTCCTCTGCGTGGGTGGGGGGCAGCATGTGTGTCCTGCAGTCTGGAAGTCATCTTTGTCAGTGACTCAGCCCTAAGTGGCTGCCAGGGCTGGGTCCACAGTTGGGCTGGGATTTGAGGGGAACTGTAACAGCAGCCTCTCCGTGAAAATGGGAGGGCTGCTGTGGGAGCACAGTGGTCTGCTCTCCCCCTTTAGGAAGAATGAGCTGGGTCGATAAAGGAAACTGGTTCTTTTGGTTGCCATTCAGAATTTTAAGAGTAATGATAGTAACTGGTAGAAGGGATGTAGAGAAGGCCGATTATGAAATGTGGCAAATACGCAGCTGATGTGTAGTCCAGTCTTCCGGAAGGGCTCTGGCTAGCATTCTAGCCGACTTAGCCAGAGCAAAGTGCACTTTCATTTCTCACATAAAATTTGCAGGGTGGAATCTTGGCCTTTATGAAGAGCAACTGAATCAGCCTCTCTCTGGACACTGCTTCTTTCTTAGAGTTGCCTATGTTTTTTTTTGTTATATCGAAGAAATCACTACCAAAACCGAAGTCGAAGATTTCCCTATGTTTTCTACTAAGAGTTTTCTAGTTTTAACTCTTAAGTGTATGTCTTTGATCCATTTTGAGTGTATTTTTGTATATGGTGTAAGGTAAGGGTTCATTTATTCTTTTGGTGTTTGATTTTATTTTATTTATTTTTTTTATCCTCACCCCAGGACATTTTTCCATTTTTTGTTTAGATAGAATGGGAGGAAGAGAGACAGAGAGAGAAACATCGATGTGAAAGGGACATATTGAGTGGCTACCTCCCACACGACCCAACCAGGGCCGGGGACAAACTGCAACCGAGGTATGTGCCCTTAGCGGGAACCGAACCCGGGTCTCTCTGGACTGCAGGCCAACGCTCTAACCGCTGAGCCAAACCGGCCAGGGCTGGTGTTTGATTTTAAAACATATAGTTAGTTACATCTTTTGAGGCAATGAATGAAGAGAAGGGCTAGACCCTAACAAGGATGGACGTGGGGTCTCACCTGATCCCAAACTGACTGAAGGAGGAATTCATTTCTGAACAGAAGGTGCTCAGACATCCATTCTTGGTACCCAGGTGTCCTGCTTGCTCCTTCCTAAAGGTTAACCTCTGGCCTGGCCGGTTTGGCTCAGCTGTTAGAGCGTCAGCTCTCAGACCGCAGGGTTGATTCCCAGTCAAGTGCACGTACTTGGGTTGCAGGTTCAATCCCTGGCCCCAGTCGGTGTTGTGCGGGAGGCAACCAATTGATGTGTCTCTCTCACATTGATGTTTCTTTTTCTCTCTCCCTGCCACTCTTTCTAAAAATCAGTGGAAAAATATCCTTGGATAAGGATTAAGAAAAAGAGAAAAAAACAGTTAACCTCTGATACTGTCACCCATCGTGTGCATGAAGAGTTGCTGGTGTGCTGAAGAACTGTGGGAGATGGCTAGACCCTGTGGTGATCTCACAGTGCAGGTTCTAACTGGCATTAAACCCTAAGGAGCAGAAGTAGGTCGTGTCAGACATGGCCTGGCCTTTAACCCAGTCATGGCCTGCAGAATATAGTCTGTGGTTTTCTTTTTCAGTCACCTACGACTTTCTGGCCACAGAAGACATAAACAGGGACAGGATCCAAGATGTTCTCTTTCTTTATAAAACTACCGATGGCAGCAACAATTTCAACCAGTCCTGCGCTGATGAAGGTAATTTGTTTCTATCCAGAGAAGGAGGAACTCCCTGTAAGAGGAGGAATCCTTGCTCTTCCAGTGTTTTGGGGAAGCAATTGGTGGAATTTCTGTAAACCGTCACTGCCTGCCCTTTGTAGCAGGACTAGAAAGAGACAAGGCCAGTCTCAGTACCCACCTTGTTTGTCTTCTGATCCTCATGGAGTCAACACTGAGCCCCATGGGTCTGGGCTGGGGAAGGGGCCCAGGTGTGAAGGGAATGAGCCTGGGCAGTAGGGGCTGTGGCAGGGAGCGAGGTGCGAGGGAAGACTGGCAGTGCGTGGTCTGCGTGCACGGCCCCACAGTTGGCTCTGTCCCCCCAGGCTTTTCCTCGCCCTGCTCCTTTATGGCCGCTGCATCAGGTGCCAATGGCAGCATCCTCTGGGAAAGGCCCGTAGCCCAGGATGGGGCCCTCGTGTTGTGTGGTGTCCCCCAGCCAAGGGACAGCGGGGCCTCTTCTGCCTGCATCCTCGTGGGCAGACCCGGGTCTCTCATCGCAGTCGACTTATTTACAGGTAGGCCCGTTCTCTGCACCTCCCCTGGGCCTCAGATGGAGGCCGGCCCCAGCATGCTCCGAGAAGGGCCAGCCTGTGCTCTCAGGCGGTCTGGCTGGCTGGAAAGGATGGTTTTAGAGTGGAAGGGAACCCCATGTGAGAGCACAGCCACTTAGCTGTCAACACCAAAGCTACTGTGACGTGTCGAGTGCCACTAGCTTGTCATCTCCTGTTTAAATCGTGCTTGTGGGAGCACAGCAGAGCACTTTCTGTGGGGTGGCAGGGAGAGGAGCTTGGCTGCTCCGCTTGTAGGGAGAAGTGGCCGCACCTTCTGCAGCATCCACCCAGGGCGAGTGTTGTCATGCAGCGGGGCGGGCAGATCTGGGCTGTCAGTGCCCAGTGTCAGATGCTCCTCTGGGCCTCCTGCAGCCGGCTGTGTTTAGGCACCAAGGGGATGGCCACTCATACCTTACCAAGGTCTTAAAGAATTCTGTGTCTTGACACTAGATTCGGTGGGTGTTAACATTTCCCTTACAAGCTGTAATTTAAGGAAATGGAGGAAAATAAAGAGCAGGTTGGAAATATTTTAAGAAGAGAGGAATCTCTTTAAAAATGGAGAAGATTGTGTCTGGGTCAGAAGCTGTTACCTCAGGACCTGAGATCTCCAGGTTTAACCCTAAGCGGGTTCATCCTCTTGTCCTGTGTGAAGGGCAAAGGCAGAGGCCACTCAGCCAGGGCCTTCGTGGGGGCAGAGGGTCCACCTTTGAGCCCAGCAGCAGACGGGTCCTGAGGGGCTTGGGACATGGCAAGGTCCAGCCCTGTCTGTCGAGGTGGGGAGAGTCAACATTGGCCCTCTGATGCTCTAGAGCCAAATGTTAGAAAATGGGTAAACAAAGAAAAGGTGTGTGGGGGGCTGGGTTCTGCAGTTCCCAGAAGTAATACTTGAGCAGTCTGGTACGTAAACCCGTGTCTTCCACACGCGCATGTCAGTGTTCAGCAGTTGTGCTCACATTGCACCTGCCTGCAGCCTCCCACTGGCAGGCGTTTCCATGTCCAAGTGGGCGTGTCTGCGTTTGTCGGGTAGGAGGGGAGCTGGGGCCAGCGCCCAGTGATGTGTGCTTGGTTGTAGGGAGCACTCTGTGGAACCATTCCACCAGCTTCAGAAGGAATGCTTCCATCCTGAGCCCTTTACTCCAGGTGCCTGACCTCGATGCTGATGGGACCCCAGATCTGCTGGTTCTCACCCAGGAGGACAAGGAGGTAGAGCTCCCCTCTTACGTCACTGCAGTCCATGTGCCACGTGGCCCCTGTCTTTGTTCCCTGCTTGTCTTCCCATTCCCAGGCGGAATTTGGGTCTGTTCAGGAGACTTGCCCAAGGCCCGGTGCTCTGGCACCTGCAGACCCAGCACACTGGGGCAACTCCATCCCTGTCCACAGCTTCTGGCCTCCCCACGAGTGGGAGTGCACTCCCCGTTGGTGCCACTGTCCTGGGGGAGGGACTTTAGTGTGGGAGACCGCCCACTTCTCTCTGGCAGTCCACGAATACATGCCTAATATTAGACTTTTTTCTTTTTTTTTTTTTAATCTTCACCTGAGGATATATTTTTCCTTTTTTTATTTTTTTATTTTCAGACAGACTGGGAGGGAGAGAGGGGAAGAGAGAGAGAAACACTGATGTGAGACACATCAACTGATTGCCTCCCGCACGACCCAACCAGGGCTGGGGACGAACCGCAACTGAGGCACATGCCCTTGACCAGAATTGAACCTGTGACTCTTTGGTCTGAGGGCCAACGCTCTAACCACTGAGCAACCAGCCAGGGCGCTATTAGACATTCTTAAATCAAAGCAATCCTCCTCCAAACCAGGGTAATATCGATCCCTTTCTTTTCCCATATGTTGCAGGTAAACAGCTACATCTATTCAGGCAAAACCGGGCACCAGATTGGCCACCGAGGCAGCCTCGGTGTTGATGGGACCAGTGGCTTCCTCCTTTATGTCACCAGAGCGGGTGCCCACTACATCCTTCTCCCCTGCGGTATGTTGTGCCTGCTGGGCCCCAGAACACCCTCACGTGCGGAGGCCATGCTGGTCCCAGATGAGCTCTGCATCCTGGAGAAAGCAGAGTGTGATGAGACCTGTAACTGCGTGAGGCTCCTCGACTCCTGCTTCTGTTCTGGGGATTTGGATTAATCCCTGACAAGCTAAGAAAGCCACAGAGGGTCAGCCCACCTCCCAGGTTCAGGGAGGGCACCCCATGTTCCCAGAAGTGGGGCTGATGGGCGCTCGTCCTCCTGGTCTTCAGCAACAACCCCTGGTGACCCAAGGCTCTTCTGTGTTTTGAGTAGCAAGTTCCCTCTGTGGCCGCTCTGTGAAGGGTATCTACGAAAAAGTGACCGGGAGAGACAGCCCACTAAGGAAAGACCCCAGCTGGGAGGATGTGCTCAGCACCGCCGCCCAGAGGCTGCTTTCCCACAGGTTGGTCTGGGGGCGGCACACAGGCAGATCCCGCCCGCCCTCAGCGCCCTGAGCAGTGGAGGGGCTGAGGGCCTTGCTGCTGGTACTGTGAGGCCATCCTGGACTGAGACGCAGGAATTGGGCAAACAGAAGCCACGTAAAAACCAGGGAAAATGTTCCCAGCAGTGGGCTCACCCTTCTCCAAGCACTGTCAGGTCTGCTTTTATATTCTCAAACCAGAGACCTGAGAATTCGGGCTGCACATGGGAATGTAGTGGACAGTGCTTGGGGGAGGGGCCCCCTCCAGCCTCCGTCCGAGCCGCCTCCCTCCCTCCTCCAGCTCGGGAGCCATCCGCTATCTGGTGAACGTCCCCGAGAAAGGCGGCGAGGACCTCCTCCTCGTGAGCTCGGAGTCCTGTGTGCTGTTGGACGGGCAGGAGCTGGCACCCAAGTGGACCTTCAGCGCACCCCAAGTCCTCAGGTATGGGGTCCTCTGCAGGACCTGGTGCAGCTGTTGTGAGTCGGAGTGGGTGAGAGGACTGTGCTTCTGCCAGAGGCCTTCTGCCTGTCACCTGGGGCTGCCCTGCACCGAGGGGCCAGTGAGACCCCTCGGCTTCCCGTCCAGGGCCGGGTTTGGCCAGGGAGAAGATGGGTGCCCCTCGTGACCTCTCCTTCCCTGTTCATCTAGAAAACCCATCCTTGGTCACTACAAACCTGACACCTTGGCAGTGGTCATTGAAAATGGAACCAGCATTGACAGACAGGTTGGCTGCACTTCCTTTTGTGGTCCCACCTTTGTTTGTAGCTGAGGGAGATTAGTCAGGCAGGGGCCTGGAGGCTGAGCTGGGACAAGAGGGGCCTCAGGGAGTGGCTTGACAGGGCTGGCCCATGTGCCTGTGCGAGCCCCACCCTCAACTGCCCATGCTGTCCCCTCCTCCCCAGATCCTGCTCCTGGACCTCAGCACCGGGGTGGTCCTTTGGGATCAGGCCCTTCCAGCCCTCCCTGGGTACCCTCAGTCTGCCAGCTTGCCAACTGCAGACCACCGCTCAGCCTTCTTCTTCTGGGGCCTCCACGAACTGGCCGGTGCCAACCAGACGGTATGGGCAGAGCACACAATTGGGACACACCCATGCCAGGAGCCAGGGCCAAAGACCAGAGGCGTTTTAGGCCCCACCTTGAGCTAATTGGGTGACTGGACATGCACAGATAAATCGAAGCCATGGGGAATGGGTGGGATGAGGCAGGGCCCTGGCCGCAGGGGAGGCCAGGCCGGGGGCGGACAGGGGGGATCCGGGAAGAAGTGGAGTGTACTGGGGGAGGCCAGGCCGGGGGCGGACAGGGGGGATCCGGGAAGAAGTGGAGTGTACTGGGGGAGGCCAGGCCGGGGGCGGACAGGGGGGATCCGGGAAGAAGTGGAGTGTACTGGGGGAGGCCAGGCCGGGGGCGGACAGGGGGGATCCGGGAAGAAGTGGAGTGTACTGGGGGAGGCCAGGCCGGGGGCGGACAGGGGGGATCCTGGGAAGAAGTGGAGTGTACTGGGGGAGGCCAGGCCGGGGGCGGACAGGGGGGATCCGGGAAGAAGTGGAGTGTACTGGGGGAGGCCAGGCCGGGGGCGGACAGGGGGGATCCGGGAAGAAGTGGAGTGTACTGGGGGAGGCCAGGCCGGGGGCGGACAGGGGGATCCGGGAAGAAGTGGAGTGTACTGGGGGAGGCCAGGCCGGGGCGGACAGGGGGGATCCGGGAAGAAGTGGAGTGTACTGGGGGAGGCCAGGCCGGGGCGGACAGGGGGGATCCGGGAAGAAGTGGAGTGTACTGGGGGAGGCCAGGCGGGGGCGGACAGGGGGGATCCGGGAAGAAGTGGAGTGTACTGGGGGAGGCCAGGCCGGGGCGGACAGGGGGGATCCGGGAAGAAGTGGAGTGTACTGGGGGAGGCCAGGCCGGGGGCGGACAGGGGGGATCCGGGAAGAAGTGGAGTGTACTGGGGGAGGCCAGGCCGGGGGCGGACAGGGGGGATCTGGGAAGAAGTGGAGTGTACTGGGGGAGGCCAGGCCGGGGGCGGACAGGGGGGATCTGGGAAGAAGTGGAGTGTACTGGGGGAGGCAGGGCTGAGTCCCAGGTGGAGCGTATGGAGAAGGATCCGGGTCAGGTTAGGGAATGCAGGGAAGAGGGGGTGAAGAGTTCAGACTGGTGTTTGGGGACCCCTGGACACAGCTCTGGGCCATGTGTCAGGAGTGTCCCATAAGGAATGAGCTCAGCATGGCCCAGCTAACAGGCCCAGATGCAGAAATGGCTATAGCCCTGGACAGACTCATGCCCCATTGCTGGTCCTCATTTTAGGAGCCCAGAGACACTCAGCACAGCCTGTACATGTTCCACCCCACTCTGCCCGGCGTCCTGCTGGAGCTGGCCAACGTCTCTGCCAACATCATTGCCTTCCAAGGTGAGTACAGCCTGGGTTGGACCTGAGCCCTGCCCCCTGGGAGGGCTGCTGTGTCTGGTCCCGAGAGACCTGACAGCCATGTCCTCCACAGTGGCCCTATTTGAGCCCAGCCGCCACGCTGCCTGCATCCTCCTTACGGGCCCAGCCAGCCCAGATGCACCCGGCCTGGTCTCCTTGGCCAAGCACAAGGTGCAGGACCTTGTCCTGAGCAGCAGAGTGGTTCACCTGACCGAGGGTGGTTCCGACAGCGACCAGGCCATCAGGGACCGGCTCTCCCACCTGCGGTACCAGAGTGAGGCCTAGATGCACAGCGGCCAGAGCACACAAGAGAGGTCCAGCTGCTGAAATTAAACATCCTCGGAAGTTGGCCCTTCATTCATTTACTCTCTACACTGACTCCCCACTCCTGAGCCTCGCGACGCTCTCCACAGGGTCTCCCCAGTACCCAGGGACATGGTGGGTGATGAGGGGACACCCAGGCTTCTCTCCTGCCCAGCATACCTGGTCCTTACACAGGTCCTCATTCTGTGCCCCACTGGGGTCACGTGCGCAAGGCCCTTCACAGTGGTCTCCCTGTGGGAGGAGCCCAGACCCATCCTGCAGAAGTCCCCTCCCCATTCCCCATCTGAGCTCGCTCTTTGCACGGTCTTCCTGGGGTCATGGAGCTCAGAGGGTGGTGGGCCCTGAGGGCCTCAGGGCAGCAGCGGGGACCTGAGGCAGTACCAGCCCCAGCCCTTCCCAGAGCAAGGAGGGAAGGCTAGCATGGTTGGTGGTGACTTGCCCTGGGGAGCCTCTTTGACCCAGCCCATGAAGAAGGGCTTGTAGGACATGACAGGCAGCACTGCCCATGGACACCCTAGTGCTGGCTGCTTGTGCTGTGAATTTCCCAAGGAACAGGCCATAGGACGCACACTGGGGTCATTTTGCACCCTCTGGATACACACTGGAGCCGCTTGTCCCTCTGGAGTCCTGCACCCCTAGGCATAGCCAGCTCCCCTCCTTCCTGGTGCTCAGACGTCCCCAGCATCGGTGTCACCTGATGCGGGACTCACCTCTGTGCCTTGTCGCACCCAGGGCTGCTGCGGTACACTGCACTCAGCTAGCCCAGGAGAAAAGGCAGCCTAAGCCTGGCGACTCAGTGCCACAGGAAGAAACCAGAATAAACGTGTTTTGCACTAGTTGAAAAGCCCCAGAGGGCACATGTGAGCCTCGTGTCTGTCTGCTTCCAAGGGGTGAAATGGATTTGTTCCTGGCCAGATTTCTGGGTCAGGATGGAAAAGATGGCTGAAGAGGTGAGGGACCCCTGTGGTTTTGGGGGGTGTCCCCCCATACACCTGCCAGATCAGAAACTAAGGGCCCAGAGGTCTTTTTCAGCACAGCCTCCAAGTGTATCTTGGGTTCGAGGACCCCTCCCTGTTCACCCACAGCAAGCCAGGAACCCAGCCCATGGACATGAGTGTGCCCCCACCTGGGACACGCAGTGCAGTGGGCCCCCCAGTACCCCTGCATCTTCCAGGGGCTGGCCAGCGAGAGGTTAGGGGAGAGTTGTGGTGCTGCCCAGGCGGAAGCCCAGGCTGGAAACCCAAAAAGAACATCGCTGTGGAAAGTGACAGCGCACCCAGAGCCAGGCAGAGCTGGGAGCTCGAGCGGTGCCCAAGGCCTCCCAGGCCCAGTTTGGGCCCACAGCTCCGGGGAGGGACCACCCTGTATAGGTCCCCGGACAGTGAGCAGGACTTAGGGGACTGAGCCCAGGGGCCCTCACTGGTGGGCCTCCTGCACCCTGGACTTGTAAATAAAGCAGTTGTACCCAGGGGGTTCCATGCCATGCTCCCTGGCACCCCTGGCCTTAGGGCACAACATGCCCAGGAGACGATGGATTCAGTACCAGGCGTCTGGACTATTCCTACTCTCCCTGGAGCGCTCGGGCATCTGTCCATCAGAGCACATAAGTGTTCCTGCTGTCTCCAAAGACCAAACACCCCCAAGAATGCAACACAGGACCTCCATGACACCTGAACCGCCACATTGTCTCACCACTGCACACTACAGGCACACTGCATGCACACCACACACACGTGCACGCACACCACACGCATGCACACACGTGCACGCACACACCCTGGTTTGGATCACTGCAGGATGAGCTCAGAGTAAGAGCTGGGTATCTTTTTTCCTTTATTACTTACTGATGAAGGAGAGAGAGGAACATTGATTTGTTCTGCTTATCTATGCTTTCATTGGTTGATTCTTATGTGTCCTGACCAGGGCTCAAACCTGCAACCGGGGTGTATTACGGTGACACTTGAACCAGCTGAGCTAGCCAGGCTGAGTCTCTTATTTCTGTGGCAGGGGGGCAGGAGCAGGCTAGCCCTGTGAGATGGGGCACTGCCTCAGCTAGCCAGTCAGAGCTGCACTCCCAAAGGGGCGCTGTTCCTTCACCCTGAGTCGGGAAGGGGAGTGGGGGCAGGTGGGGCCCTCTGAATTAAGGACAGCTGGTGTCACTGCCTCTCCGAGAAGGCTCTGCCCACCCACCCAGGCAAGACTGTGAGCGGGAACAGCTGTGAGGGGGGCGATGATGTTGGAGTCCTCTACACCTCTGGCAGAAAAGCTACAGACGGCTTCAAGAGCCTCGCGAAGAACAGAGGTGCACCTGCAGGACAGGTCTGGGACATGTGCAGTGACAGTGCAGGTCAGGGCAGCACCCGTGGGGACAGCTTTGTACTCGTTGGAAGGCTGAGCACAGCCCCAAGAAAATTCAGGGAGCTCTAGAGTCCCCACTGGGTCACACTGAGCAGAGTGGAGTGGGGTAAATGAGTTTTGAAGCCTGCATTTCTTCACCATGTGAGAAGTGCCTCCTGCTGGACACCACCTGTCTGTGCACCTGGCTCCCAGGTGCTCGCCTGCCAATTTAATGGTCTGGAGATGGGGGGGGGGGGGCAACTAGAGCCCGTTGAAGACTACATCATGGTTTGCCTATCTCGTCCCACCTATCTCCAAGGGACACAAGCTTGGCCAATGACAGCTCTTTCCTGGTAGTCAGTACCTGGACTGGTCTCTTCTGTAAAGTCTGAGGGACTCGTGCCCCACAGCAAGGCCAGACCCTCTGTGCACTAGGGGATGCCCATGCTGGGGGTCTCAGCAGCTGCCTGGGCGAGACGAGGCTGATGAGGGGCAAGGATGGTCAGGGTGCCTCCTCCTCCAGGCCCAGGCCCACCTATGCCTCCCCATCACCACCCCCAGGGCCACCAGCAGCAGCTGCAGGTTCCCCAGAAGCAGAAGCAGGAAGGAGAGCAGGGCTCAAGCTCGAATGCCGTGGCTTCCACATGAACGGGAACACTCTGGAAGCAAGGGGGGCCTCAGTGCAGGGCGGCCTCGAGCGTCCCGCCTGCCTCAGGTCCTGGCACAGGGCACCACCTGGGCTCACCGTCTCTTTGTCTCCGGGAGTGTCATGGCCTCCGCAAGCAAGGTTTTGTACATGTCCGACTTCAGGAACCTCGGGTAGGAGTCCTGTAAGAAATGATGGTCAGCCCTGGCCCGTTTGGCTCAGTAGTTACAGCATCAGCCTGCAGACTGAGGGGCCTCAGGTTTGATTCCTGGTCAAAGGCAGGTCCCTGGGTTGCAGGTTCAATCCCTGACCCCAGAGTTGTGCAAGAGGCAACCAATTGACGAGTCTCACATTGATGTTTCTCTCTCCCTCTCTCCCTCCCACTCTTTCTAAACATCAGTGGAAAAATATCCTCAGGTGAGGATTAACCAAAAAAAAAAATGGTGGTCAGCCCTGACACCTTCCACCCCTCCCTCTCGGCTTCCCCCAGCTCCAGCCTGGCACTGCTCGGATCCTCAGAGCTCCCAGTGAACAGTGCTGGAGGTGGCCATCCAAGTCAGCTGACTCAGAGACCTGAGCTCCTAGCCAGTTGGGCCATTTAACAGTGAAAGATGAGCAAGAGCCCGGCCCCACGCACAGAGGAGTGAACTATGGCACCTCCAGGGAGGGAATTCTTCGGAGCAGCCGTCTACGCATTGAGTGAGGGCAAGGACACGCTGAATAAAAAACAAGGTCAAGAAAAACTGTATAGTAGGCAATAAAATGGGACAGGAATGTCTGAATCTAATTGCTTTTTGTTGTTAATCCTTACCCCAGGATATTTTCCATTGATGTTTCTTAGAGTTGAAGGGAAGGGAAGGGGGAAGGGAGAGAGAGAAACATTGAAGTGAGAGAGACACATCGATTGGTTGCCTCCCACACAGGCCCTGACTGGGGCCAGGGATCGAACCTGCAACCTAGGTATGTGCCCTTGACTGGAAATTGAACCCATGACACTTCAGTCCAAGGGCCAATGCTCTAACCACTGAGCAACACCTGCCAGGGATAATGACTTGTATTTTATTTTATTTTATTTTATTTTATTTTATTTTATTTTTATCCTCACCTGAGGACATTTTTCCATTTTTTGTTCAGATAGAGCGGGAGGGAGAGAGAGGAAGAGAGAAAGAGAGAAACATCGATGTGAAGGGACACATCGAGTGGCTGCCACCCTCACGACCAACCAGGGCCGGGGACAAACTGCAACCGAGGTATGTGCCCTTAGCGGGAACTGAACCCGGGTCTCTCTGTACCGCAGGCCGACGCTCCAACCACAAGGGCTATTTTTTTTTAATTTTTAAAAATATTTTTTCTTTATTGATTTCAGCGAGAAAAAAAGGGAGAGAGAGAGAGAGATAGAAACATGGATGAGACAGAACATCAATTGTCTGCCTCCTGCATGCCCCACACTGGGGATCAGGCCCACAACCTGAGCATCTACCCTGACCGGGAATCGAACCAGCAACCTCTTGGTGCATGGGTCCACGCTCAACCACTGAGCCACACCAGCTGGGCTAAAAATAAATATAAGTGCATCTTGGTGGAGGGGCAGGGATAGAACCTACATTTATTTTAATTTACCCTGCTTTGTACATGGGATATTGAAACTATGTAGATATTTCACATAATTATAATTTTTTTAAAAATCCTCACCCGAGGATATTTTTCCATTTATCTTCAGGTAGAGTGGGAGGGAGCGAGGGAGAGAGAAACACTGATGTGAGAGAGACACATTTGTTGATTGCCTTCTGCATGACTCCAACCAGGGCCAGGGACAGAGCCGCAACTGAGGTACAGGCCCTTGACCAGAATCGAACCGGTGACTCTTTGGTCCTCGGGCAGATACTCTAACTGCTGAGCCAAACTGGCAGTGGGTATTTCACATAATTATAAAATAAAATAATAAGTAAGCAATCCCCAAACATTGAAAGTAAAGGGTCACAAATGGAGCTGGACATCCAGTGGGTGACACTACCTGAACCACACACAACAACAGAGTGGTCCAAGGGGTTGTCCCAAATAGGATACATACAAGGGACCAAAAAAGGTAAAAAGTAAGCCATTTTCAGTGGCTGCACTGTGAATGGTGATGTGTGTCCTTCAGTTCAGACTACCGAGCGAACTATGAGAAAAGTAAAGAAGTTTGTTAGCATTGTTGGAAACCAGGATTTCCAGTGGGGCTGAAAAAAGAGATTTAAAGTCAAAGAGGGAGAGAAAGTCTAACCCTGAACCTGAATGAGAAGTGTCAGTATGAACTTCAGATACATCCTGCCCACCCAGTGTGGCCCAGTGGTTGAGTGTGACCCATGGACCAAGAGGTTGCTGGCTCGCCCTAGCTGGTTTGGCTCAGCAGCTACACATTGGCCCAGACCAAGCAGTGCAGGTTTGATCCCTGGCCCCAGTCAGTGTCGTGTGGAAGGCAACAAATCAATGTGTCTGTTTTCCCCTCCCCCTCTCCACTCTATCTAAAAACTAATGGAAAAGTATCCTAGGGTGAGGATTAACATAAATAAATAAAAAGAGATTACTGGTTCAATTTCCAGTAAGGGCATTACAGGCTCCATTCCCAGTAGGGGGCGTGCAAGAGGCAGCCAAAGGATGTTTCTCACCTTCTCCCTTCCTCTAAAAAACACATATTTCCTCCAGCCCAGTGTGGCTCAGTGGATTGAGCATGTCCCATGAACTGAGAGGTCCCAATTTGATTCCCGGTCAGGGCACATGCCTGGGTTGTGGGCTTGATCCCCAGTAGGGGTCATGCAGGAGGCAGACCATCCATGCTTCTCTCTCACATCGATGTTTCTATTTCTTCCTAAAAAAATTGATAAACACATATTTAAAATAAAAACACATATTTGCTCATTCTGTCCACTGAAAGACCAGGAAATGATGACCACCCAGTGGCATGAACACATCTGGTATATAGGTCAAGGATTCTAAACACCACCCATGAAAAAGGGCCAGAGCTGCCCTGCCCGGTTTGGCTCAGCAGTGAAGAGCACAGACTGGAGAGTCCCGGGTTCGGTTCCCGCTAAGGGCACGTACCTCGGTTGCAGTTTGTCCCCAGCCCTGGTTGGGGTCGTGTGGGTGGCAGCCAATCAATGTGTCTCTCTCACATCAATGTTTCTCTCTCTCCCTTCCTCTCTCTTTCCCTCCCTCTCTATCTGAAGATAAATGCAAAAATGTCCTCGGGTAAGGATAAAAATAAATAAATAAAAACTTTAAAAAAAAAAGAAAGAAAAAGGGCCAGGGCTGCCCTTGCAAATGGCCAGCTCTAGGTTGGTGCAGGATGAACCTGGGACAACTATCACATCAGAAATTAAGGGAGCCGCTACAGACAGCGAGACACTTCAGAGACCTCTGAATATCATGTAAGAATAAGAACTGACATGGACTGAACCCCATCAAATCCAGTGAAAATGTGAATTTATGATGGTATTAAAAACCTTGAAATCTCATGACCTCCCTTGGTAGATATTGGGTCGAATTCATTATTTTGATAAGTGGTCATTAAAAGAAGGAATCAGCCCTGGCCAGTTTGGCTCAGCGGTTAAAGCGTCGGCCTGTGGTCCGGAGAGACCCGGGTTTGGTTCCCGCTTAGGGCACGTACTTCGGTTGCAGTTTGTCCCCGGCCCTGGTTGGTCGTGCGGGTGGCAGCCACTCGATGTGTCCCTTCACGTCGATGTTTCTCTCTCTCTCTCTCTTCCTCTCTTACTTTCCCACTCTATCCGTACAAAAAATGGAAAAATATCCTCGGGTGAGGATAAAAAAAAAAAAGAAGGAATCAAGTCTGTCTGGTGTGGCTCAGTGGTTGAACATTGACTCATGCACCAAGAGGTCACCGGTTCGATTCCCAGTCAGGACACGTGCCCAGATTGTGGGCCCAATCCCCAGGGTTGGGAGGGGAATGCAGGAGGCAGCCAATTGATGTTCTCTCTCATTGATGTTGCTCTCTCCCTCTCCCTTCCTCTCTCTCTAAAAACTCAATAAAGAGCCCTGGCTCAGCGGTTAGAGCGTCGGCCTGTGGTCCAGAGAGACCCGGGTTCAGTTCCTGCTAAGGGCATGTACCTCGGTTTCAGTTTGTCCCCGGCCTGGTTGGGTCGTGTGGGAGGCAGCCACTCGATGTGTCCCTTTCACGTTGCTGTTTCTCTATCTCTCTCTCCCTCCCACTCTATCTGAACAAAAAATGGAAAAATGTCCTCGGATGAGGATAAAAAAATAAAGAAAAAAATCAATAAAGAAAAAAAATTTAAATAAATAAATAAAAGGAGGAATCAAGCATTGATTCTGCCTTTCCTACAAGACAGGTACCACTGGCCAGCAAAGAGCAGGTGAGGGGAGGCTTCCGGCTCATAAACAAAAAGACAGTGATGGGATTAGAACATGGCTGATGAAACCATGAGTCTGGGCAACGACTGTCAGTGGCTGCTTGGTCACAAAAGGGAGGCAACTAAATCTCATGTACCTCCTAATGGGAGAACACACCAAACTGAAGAAAATAGTCTCGACAAAACCGAACAAATAACAAAACTGAAAATTACTTCTGATCAAGACTTAAATATAACTACCAATTTCTAGCAACGGGATAGAGAAACACGTCAAATATGCCACAGGGGCCCGGCCGGTGTGGCTCAGTGGATTGAGCGTTGTCCCGTGGACTGAGAGGTCCCGGTTCGGTTCCCAGTCAGGGCACATGCCCGGGTTGTGGGCTCCATCCCCAGTGGGGGCCATGCAGGAGGCGGCCAATCAATGTTCTCTCTCACTGATGTTTCTATTCCTCTCTCCCTCTCCCTTCCCCTCTCTCTAAAATCAATAAAGAAAAAAAATTAGAAACAAACAAAAAAAGACGCCACAGGGACTCAGCAAAATCCAGACTGTGGGAAACTAGAGCACTGAGGACCAGTTCCTTCCAAACAAAACAAGTAAACGGAGAGATGGAGAGGAGACCTATACCGTATTCTAAAAAGAGGTTTAAGAGACATTAACCAATTCTAGTGTATGGACTTGGTTTGAATCCAAAGTCAAGCAAATTTTAAAAAATTAGAAAGATCAATATTTGTAGGCTGTGGTAGATAGAATAAAGCTACCCAGTGATGTCTACACCCTAATCCCTAGGCCCTGTGAACATGTCCCCTTACGTGGCGAAGGGACTTTGCAGATGTGATTAAATAAATGACGTTGAGATGGGGAGATTGCTGGGATTACCCAGGTAGGCTCAGCGTAATCACAGGAATTCTTATAAGTGAAAGAGGGAGGCAGGAGGATTAGATAGAGAGATTTAATAGTAATCACTGCTGCTACACCCGAAACTAATATAATATTGTATCTCAATTATAATTGAAAAATAAATTTTTTTAAATTTAAATAAAAAAAAAAAGCCCTGTCAGTTGATTGGAATGTCATCCTGATTCGCCAAGATTGCAGGTTCAAGACATCAGGGCACATACGGGAAGCAACCAATGAATGCATGGGTGGGTAGAGCAATGGATCGATGTTTCTCTCTCCAATCAACAAAAAATCTTTTTTTTTTTTTTCCAATCCTCACCTGAGGACATTCTTACAATTATCTTCAGATAGAGCAGGAAAGAGGTAGGAAGAGAGAGAGAAACACCGATGTGAGAGGGACACATCGAGTGGCTGCCACTCACACGACCCCAACCAGGGCCGGGGACAAACTGCAACCGAGGTACGTGCCTTTAGCGGGAACTGAACCCGGGACTCTCTGCCGCGGGCCGATGCTCTAACTGCTGAGCCAAACCGGCCAGGGCAACAAAAAATCTTTTAATTAAAAAAAAAAAAAAAAAGATGATCTGCTGTCTTTGAAGACAGAGATGGGCCACGAGCCAAGGACACTGTGCGTATGTCTAGAAAGAAAAGGCCATGGACTGGCTTCTCCCTGGAAGCCTCTGGAAGGAACCAGCCCTGTGGACACCTTGACTTTAGCCCAGAGACCCGTCTCAGGCTCTGGCCTCCAGGGGACAAATGTGTGTTCATTTAATCCACCAAGTCTGTGATGTTTTTTCCAGCAGCAACAGGAAACTAACCCAAGAGGCCAAGTGGCAGGTGTGGACCCTGGCTGGCTACCTGAGGGGACTGAGTAAGCACTGCCGCTAACGTGTGCAGCCCTGCAGAAAGGGAGCAGGTGGCCCATGTCCTGCAGGGAACTTCCTGAAATACCTACACATAGGAAGTCATGGCTTGACAGTCCGGGAGGAAGTGCCTACCTTCTTCATCAGCATGTAGATGTGCAGCTGGGCATCATCCAGCGCGTAGCGGTGGGGCCGGCACAGGCCCTCCAGGGTCCGCTCCATCGTCTGGCTGTCGATGTTGACCCAGCGGGCAGCACCAGGGGCCAAGAACTGCCTGTGTGTGGGGACGGGGACAGCCCAGTGGGTCCAGGCTCCACAGGCCTGCCCTCCAGTCGGCCAGCCCACCTCTCGCACTCACTGGTACACGGAGTCCACCAGGGTGGGGACCCGGGCCTGCCCTCCGTGGCGCAGCTCCTCACATGCCTCCCAGAAGCTGAGGTTCTCGGCTGCGGGTCCAAGCACCAGGTCAGGCCCACCCTGAACTGCAGCCAGGGCTGGCTGAAACCTGGGTGGGGGAGTCCCAGGCAACAGCCTCCCTCACTGGGGCCTCAAACAGGAGTTGGAGGCATCTCACCACTGAATTCCTTCCTGAGAAAGTCCATAAAATGGGCCCGTCCCACAGGGTCTTCCAGGAGCTCCCGGAAGCTGAAGCCCCAGCGCTCCACACGGAGCTTCGTGGGTGCAGCCACGCTAGGGGGAGGAGTGGGTGTGTCAGGAGCATGAGGAGCGTAGGGGGGGTGGGGAAGTGGGAAGAACACCTGCAGACCCCCCCTCCCACTCTGAGCTCACCTGGGTGCGTTCATGGCCCAGTAGGTGTCATCATCTGTGATCCAAGGGTTGCTGGGCAGGCACCCCGACATGATGGGATCATGCGGGCCATGCTGGTTGCTGAACTTCAGGTACCTGGGGTGGGGATGGTGCCAGGGGCCAGTGCAGGGCAGGGCTATGGGTTGAGGGCACTAGAGGTGGGGTCTGGGCTCGGGCATGGGGTCTCCAGCTAGCACCTCCATCCCACTCACGCCTCAAGGCAGACAGAGGACTTCACCCGGATCCTGCCCAGGGCCTTTCCGCAGCACTCAATCTGCGACACAGGACCTGTGAGGCAGGGCCAGGGCTGGGGGCTGGCCAGCCCGCTCCCCTGTTCGGCCCCAGGACCTACCTCCCGCTTGTAGAAATCTGTGTTCTTGGTCTGCAAGGGGCCAGAAAGGCTCCCGTTAGAAGGCAGGCCCCTGCTAGGGACTGACATCCCAGCACGGCTGGCAGAGAAGGGCCCCTGTGCAGTCCCTTGGACCCCTCCTCTGATGGCAGGGTCTGACTTTCCAGGAAGCTTTTGGGAGTCTACAGTTTGGAGGTTTCCAGAATGTTCTCAAAGTTGTCTTGAGGTTCCCCAATTATCACTATCCCATAATCTCAAATATATTTAAATCACTTTTTAAAAACAACATATAGGTAAGAAATACTATGAGTCACACTAGGAACCCAGACTGCTGACTGTGCCCCAGACTCGTGTTCAGAATTCGAAACCCTCCCGTCCCCTCCCGGCGGGCCAGGACTGGCCGACCTTCGGAGCACTCCACAGCCGTCTCTGACACAGCCCAGGCGACAACGCTGACTTCCAATTTTTGTCTCAGCGCTGCTGGACTGACTTTATTACAGGGAAATTTTTTTTTTTATCCTCACCTGAAGACATTTTTGCATTTATCTTCAGATAGAGCGTGAGAGAGAGGGGGAGGAAGGGAGAGAGAGAAACATCGATGTGAGAGAGACATATTAACTGGTTTCCACCCACACAACTGGGGCCGGGGACAAACTACAACTGAGGTACGTGCCCTTAGCGGGAACCGAACCCCAATCTCTCTGGTCCACGGGCCGATGCTCTAACCGCTGAGCCAGACCGGCCAGGGCTATTATGAGGAAATTTTGAACCTATGATGATGAGCTTATGATTTTGAACTTAGGAAGAACTTTTATCAGTAAGGTACTAAATGTATCTGTTCTATGTTTTGGGTTTCATAGGGTTTCAACAGGTGGCTCCGCTGCTACAAAGTGTGTCCTGGTGCAGTCTCTTCTGGTTCCCCAGGCCAACAGAGGCCTCGGAGGGAGGAGGCTGGTCTGGCCTAGGGAAAGAGCCCCCCACCCTCCCCAGGTCCCACTGCACTTACTTTCACCCAGGGCAGCACGTGGGAAGCAAGAAAGGGCAAGAGTTAGCAGTGGGGCTGGGAAGGGGGCGGGGTGAGGAGAAAGTGAGACCCAAGTAGGGTGGGGCACTTGGAGTGGCTGCTATTTGGGTCTACAGATGAATGCACGGATGGGTGGGCAGCCCCAAGAAGTCCATAGTGGTGGAGTGGGGGCAGGGAGGGGTGTGTGCATGGGTGTGTTAGGGGTGGGGGTGGCAGGAGACATGGGTGCAGGGGTGGGGAGTGGGGGGCATGTGTGTAGGTGTGAGAAGTAGGTGGGGCATGCATGCATGCAGGGGTGGGGAGTGGGGGGGCATGTGTGTAGGTGTGAGAAGTAGGTGGGGCATGCATCTGTGTAGGGGTGGGGAGTGGGGGGCATGTGTGTAGGTGTGAGAAGTAGGCGGGGCATGCATGCGTGCAGGGGTGGGGAGTGGGGGGGCATGTGTGTAGGTGTGAGAAGTAGGTGGGGCATGCATGCGTGTAGGGGTGGGGAGTGGGGGGGCATGTGTGTAGGTGTGAGAAGTAGGTGGGGCATGCATGCGTGTAGGGGTGGGGAGTGGGGGGGCATGTGTGTAGGTGTGAGAAGTGGGTGGGGCATGCATGCGTGCAGGGGTGGGGAGTGGGGGGGCATGTGTGTAGGTGTGAGAAGTAGGCGGGGTATGCATGCGTGCAGGGGTGGGGAGTGGGGGGGCATGTGTGTAGGTGTGAGAAGTAGGTGGGGCATGCATGCGTGCAGGGGTGGGGAGTGGGAGGGCATGTGTGTAGGTGTGAGAAGTAGGCGGGGGCATGCATGCGTGTAGGGGTGGGGAGTGGGGGGGCATGTGTGTAGGTGTGAGAAGTAGGCGGGGGCATGCATGCGTGCAGGGGTGGGGAGTGGGGGGCATGTGTGTAGGTGTGAGAAGTAGGTGGGGCATGCATGCGTGCAGGGGTGGGGAGTGGGGGGGCATGTGTGTAGGTGTGAGAAGTAGGCGGGGGCATGCATGCTGTAGGGTTCTTACCATCTGCTGGAGCCTGGCAATGCAGGAGCCCTGCTCTGGGCCCTGCTCCAACACACTGGGGATCCCAGGCTGCAGAGGGGAGATTAGGTGAGGTGGGGGGCACAGCTCAGGTGGGCTGCTGAGACCTCACCCTACAGCCACGTTCCTGCCCCCTACTAGCCCCCATATACTGAAGCTCTGAGCCCACATGTCACACCTTGAGATGAAAACTGACAGTCCAAGGAACCCAGAAATCCGAGTCTTGCGCCCCAGGCTCCTCCCTGCCCGTTCCCACACCTTGTATCAGCCCACCTCTCGGAGCTGCTCTGGGCTCCGCCCAGCTCCTCACCCCGCTCAGGGCTCCTCTGAGCTCCAAAGCCATGTGTGAACCCAGCCCGGCTTTGCCACAAAAGCAAAATCCTTGACTTTTTTTTCCCTAAACCTCCCCATTCTTCCTCTTTTCAGCCGAGCCCATCTCTATGTACCTGACTGCTCAAGCCAGAAACCTAACCACCTAGCTGTCTTCTGGAGAGGGTTCCACTCCCCCAACCCCACTTGTCCCGCACCCTGTACTCAAACACACATGCTGGTCTGGCCACCCTCCCTCTGCCCAGGTCGGAACCCTCGTGGCCACTTGCCCGGAGGCTCTAGCTGCCGTTCCGGTCCCTTCCACACGCACCCTCACCCCAAATGGCGGGCCCGGCCCGCTCCTGGGCCCACCTCAGCTCACAGGCTCAGCCTTGGGGCCATGCCCACCCCACCTTCCTCCCCGGTCTGGCCGCCTGGCCCTCAGGTGGACTGAGTCATTTTCCCAGAGATGCCCTCTAAACACACTTGATGAGGCGGCCAGGCCTGTGGGTGGCTCCTGGAATCTTTTTCCTTCGATTTTCCCCACAGGAGCTTCCGTTCACGGTTTGCTGTGACTCTCACAGTGGACCCAGAATGCCTCTCCACCGCTCCACACAGTAAGGGGGCCTCAAACCACCTGCTAGGACTGTGGCTCTGGGCGAGGCCTAACCCCTGGCCAGCACCCCCAGAAGCTGCAGCTAAGCCTCACCCCAACTTGCCTCATTCCTAGGGTCTTTAGGTTCCCCCACCCACTTCCCCAGGCCTCTCCCTTAGACCCAGAGAGCAGCTTTTTGTCCTGTGGTCTGTGAGTGGGGGGCAGCCTTGATCTGGCCTCATGATTTCTGGGTTCTGATGAGCCACGCAAGTAGAACCTCCTGTCACCCACCGGGCACCCTTTGAGGAGCACATACTGACTCTCAGCAGGACCTGCTGCTGTCCAAGGAACCACCCCTCCCCACACAAGGGCTCACCGGGGGCCTGTTCACCAGCCAGTACGTCTGCTCCTGGCACTCAATGACCAGCCTGTCCCCCTTCCTGCGCTGCTTAGCTGCCCTGGGGGTGGGAGAGTTGGAGGAACATGGTGCCCACCACAGCCCCTCCCCCACCCACCCTCAGGCCAGGGCCTGGGCAGGCGGCCAAGCCTAGGCTGTGCTGCTTCTGGTCCCATGGCTGCCAGTGCCCGGCTAAGCGCCTCTGAGCTTCCTGGGCAGCCTGGGCTCTGCCCGCTGGGCTTGGGGTCTCACCGCAGCTGCTCTCTTGCCTGCATCACTACCAGGTCCCACGTGTGGTTGATCTTCCTGTGCAGCTGGTCATAGTGCTCCTGCGGTGGTGTCGAAGTCTCCAGTGGGTCACCCCCTTTCCTGCCAAGCTCAGGGGTGGGGCATGGACCCCCCACCTCCCCACTGAGACAGGACTAGGGGGGATGGTGTGTTTGTGTGTCTGCAGTATCCTGCGGCCTGGGCTGTGTTCTCCAAGGCACTGTGAGGCCCTGGGACACGAGGGGGGCTTGTGTTCCTCGGGCTAGATTCAGCCTGGGGGGTAGTCCCACCTTCTCATGGTCGACCAGGACCCCTTGCTTTCGGATATTCTTCTTGGCCAGGTAGATGGCTGGAAGGAGAGGGACAGGCTGCAGAAGAGCACTCTGCCCCCTCCGTTCCTGTGGCATCACCCAGAAGCCACCAGTCCTGGGAGCTTGTCCCAGGCTAGCCCACCCTCCTCACTCACCGTAGTCCAGCTCGGCAGCTGGCCACAGAGTGCTCGTCCAGAAATAGGGTGTCTGGTGCCGTGCAAAACAAGAGGTGTCTGGAACCTCCTGGGCCTTCCCCACCCCAAGAGTCCTCCCACCCCCTCAGCTCCCTTGGGAAGTGACTGGGCTGGCGGGGGTGAAGCGCCTGAGGATCTGCCTGTCTGCCCATGGCCCAGAGGCTAAGCTGACCACCAGCCTTTCTGTCCACCTGGAACTGAGCTCCACTCACCCCTTGGGCCCCGTGCAGGGGCTGCCCCTTGACTCTGAGCTCCAGGAGCCCCCACTCCAGGGAGGGTCTTCCCAAGTCCCAGATATAGTCACAGTCTATGCTGGGAGGCAGGCCTGACCTGGGCTCCTATAGTGGCCAGGAAGGACAGGCCAGGGGCTCCATCATGACTGGGACACACACACATTGAGGGGCAGGGATTCTGTCCTCAGGCCTCACACAGCCTCCTTGTCGGAGAGGGGGCCTAAGGACTGGGGAGGCTGGTAGAACCCTCCATAGATACTACCCCTTGTGGAGGCCCTGCTGTGGCCACAGAGAAACTGAAGGCTCTTCCCCTGAACAAGATCCTTCTACCACAAGGAGGCTTCCAGTCCAGGCCTTTTGGGGAGAAAACGGTAACCACCAGGCCTGCTGTGACATCAACACAGTTTGCTCCCACCGCACCCCACCCCACCCCACCCCACCCCACCCCTTTCAGGAGTTCCCACTAGTTGGGCTGCTGGATGTGGGGTTCCCACGTGCTCCCAGTTGAGCCTGACCTGGAACCTGTAGAGTGTCTCATCAAGCTGAAGCGCGAGGCTGCGGGGGGCGCGCAGTGGGTACAGGTAGCCATGCCGCACCAGGAGGACGCCCAGGTGCCGGGCCTCTGGGGCAGGGGTGGGAGGTGGGGCAGGTGGTGAGTTCTCCTCTGGGGAGAATTGAGCAGGGTCCCTGGGGATGACTTCCCCGTCCCCAACACACTTGGCTTGGCCCTGACACTGATGAGCCCCAGAAGGCCCAGCCTCATCAGCCCTGGGACCCCCTTACCCTCCTCTGAGACGCAGTACTTCTGGATTAGCCACTCCACGATGGCGTTGCCTGCGGAGCAGACACTGAGTGGGGGAGGCCAGGGCAGGGCCACCCCTCCCCCCACCCCACCCCCCAGCCTCACCGGTCACCGCGTGCGGAATGACTGTAAAGAGAAGTCGCTGGCTCCGCATCTTCACGCCCTGGTCAGGGTCCTGCATACTCACGACCACCCGCTCCATCTGGGCAAAGGGTGCGTTGAGGGGCTGCGCCCCCAGCCTCCCCTACCCCACACCCACGGACCTGGCCGGGTGGCCCGGATCAGTGTGCGCAGATTAACGCACAGATGGTGGGGTTTCAGGCCTTGCTGGGAGGGGGCGGGGCGGAGGCGAGGGGCGAACTACCCCTCCAGCGCTGGGGTCTCCGCCGCCTCACGCGCCCCACAAAATGCCAGCGCTCGCAGGCCAAAGTCCACCCTCGCGCTCACCCACACCCACTCCTCTGCCCCTCCCGGCCTCGATGCCAGAAATCCAGGGACTGAGGGACCCCCACCTGGCACCCACCTTGCTTAGGTGAGGCATCTGCGCACGGGGGCGCCCACCGAGGGGCCCGAGGCCAGAGGCCATGGCTACGCGAGAAGCCCGCAGGGGTATCAGCACTGAGACGCCCTGCCCCGCCCTGCCCCGCCCCACGCCCGAGTTAACCCTCCCGGGTCTGGAGTTGGTCCCGTGTCCCATTCCTGGTCTGGGAAGGGGACGCCAGACGGGCCACCCCAAGGAGTCTCCTTCCACGTCGGGAGAACTGAGGCTCGAGCCCGTGAGGCCTTGCGGGGTGGCTACGTGACTGTGGGAGGTGCCCTGAGGTGGGACCCGGAGATGCGGGCTTGGAGAGGGGTCTTGTGAGGGAATGGGGGCTCAGGAAGAGGGAAGGGAGCTCGGAGAGGAGGTGAGGACTCAGGGAGAGGATGAGAAATCAGAGAAGGGGAGGGGGCAGCATGAGGGGAGGGTCTCCAGGAGAGGGGACTCTTGGCAAAGTGGCCTGGGGTGGGGGTCGATGGGTCTACAGTAAGCCCTGCGGGAACCAGGGGTGGAGGGGATGTGGGGTCAGGGTAAGAGGTCTGACTGCCCTTGGAGTGTGTGCCTGCCATTGTGTGACACCATGGGTGACATCATGTGGATGCCGTTGGGACCGCGTGACACTGTGGGGCTGCATAGGGTGCTGGGTAGGAGTCCTTTGAGACCTGGGGGAAGGTGGAAGGTAGCTCACTTTCTATCAGCTGCACAGGACCTGGATAGGGCCAGTTAGAGAACAGGCAGAGATCCCCCCTAGGACACCCCAAGACTGTGGGAGAGGGGCTTTATTGGAGAGGGAGTATCTCAAACACATACACACACACACACACTGGCCAGTAGCCTCTGGGCCTTTTCCTTCCTCCAACTGTTTGGCCATCTCCACCCCAGACCCCCTTTGCTTAGGACCACTTTAAGGGGTGCAAACAGGTCCATTTCTGCTTTTTGGAGATAAGAGCACACCCCCAATCAGGGGGTGTTGGGGGCAGGACAGGATGGGGTTAGCCTTTGGCCAGCAGCCTTAGAAAAGATCTGAATTCATTCCCACTGCTGGTAAGGACAGTCCAGCATGAGCTGGGGCAAGGGCACTGGAGGGAGCTCCTACCCCAGCCAGGTTACCATCCTGCCTTAGATCCTAGTGAACTCCTCCCACGCACATAGATGGGGTTAGGCTGGGCTCAGGCCTGGCTATCCTCTCTGGATGGGTAGGCATCCACAGAGGCTGAAGGCCACCAGAGGCCAGAGCTGTCCCCCATCTGGGGACAAGTAGCTTCCCTGACTGCCCCTGCCCCGGAGAAAGGGCAGCAAGAATGGGGCCCTAGAAAGACCTGGGCCCCAGCTGGAGGAATCCTGCCTTGGAAAGACTGTGGGCAAGTGGGGCTCTGATGAGGACATTCCTACCCAAGCCCAAGTGATCCCTAGTCCCCATGGCCTGTTGGCCTGATGCTCACACAGGGGCTCCTTTGGACAAGACTGGGTCTAATCCCTGGGTATCCTCAGAAGTGGGAATTGGGCAGAGCGTGTCTAGAAAGAAGAGGCCTCTGGCCTGTGTTCCACCTCCTCCTCCTCCACTCAGACCTAGAACTTTGATCCACTGCCCCCAGCCTGGAGTCCAGCTTACCCCTGTTCCCTGCCTTGGCTAACTCCCATCTACCCACCACCCCAGGGTTTGTCTAGGTGTCAAGACCAGAGGCCGCCTCTGTGCCCCTTCAACACTCCACCACCCCGGTTCTGTTTTGGATCAGTATCCTCTTTTCCTCAAGCACAGGGAGCCGTCCTCAGAATCCTCTGGGTCCCCAGAGCACACAGAGACACCCCCACCCCCACCACACACAGCCCAGTTAATAAACACTGAGTAATAGCTGTGTGGGTGGGGACCCCAGCCCTGTGCATGTGTACTCTAGTAGCTCTGTGCTGATGACTGTAACCTCTGGGGTGCAGGGCTAGGAGACTGCAGACACACATAGCGTCCCTCAGCCCCCAAGGCCAGGCGGTTCTAGGAGTCCAAGTCCCCTCTACCCAGACAGAAGCTCCGCGGATCAGGAGTAGGGGGAGGGTAGGGGACTGTTGGGCCCCAGGTGCGGCCTGCACTGCCTGCTGGAAATGAGAGCCTGGGGACAAGAGGAGGGGGAACGCACCTGCTCCCCGCGCCCCAGCCCCCACCGGCCGCGCCCAGAGGGCTTCGCTGGAGGGCCCCCAGACTCCCGCAGGCGTGGTGGGGGTAAGACAGCCCTGGTGTCCAGAGCAGGGTGCAGTCGGGCGGGCTGCTGGGAGCGTGACCGCGGCCGGCCGTGTCCGCGGCGGCTGTGCAGGGTTCGGGTGGGCCGGAGGCGGGGACAGCCGGGTGCCCGCGCGGTGCGGGCGACACGCGCGTCTCTGCGGGGCTGCGCGGGGTCCGCGGAGCGGCTGGGGGCGCGCGGCGCGGGCGCGGCGCTGGGCGCGGGGGGCGCTCCCGGCCGGGATGAGCTCACCGCAGTCGCGCCGGGGCTGAGCGCCAAGCCGGGCGGCGGCTCCTCGGCGGCTCCGCGGCGGGGCCGGGCCGAGGGCCACCATGCTGGGCCTGGACGCGTGCGAGCTGGGGGCGCAGCTGTTGGAACTGCTCCGGCTGGCGCTGTGCGCCCGAGGTGAGTCGGCAGGGTTGGGGCCAGGGCGGCCACGTGGGTGGGGGGGGGACGCTCCGGCGGGGGATGGTTTTAGCCCAGGGTGGGGACTGGCCCCTTCCCCGTGGAAACTTTGGGGGCGCGGGTGGGGATATTGTGGTGCGGTCCTACCGGCAGGGCTCTGGCGGGGGTGGGGGGTTTCCTCCAGGCTAAACACTCATGGGGAAAGGAGCCAAGAGTGGGCGGGTCTGCTTTTGAAGCCAGGGTGATAGAGGGACCCTCTCCCCTTGGGAACCTCGTCCAGAGATCCACTCCCTTGGGTGGGGCCGGGACTCCTTTAGGGTGTGTGGCGATTCCTGAGAAGACAGGAGCGCAATGGGCAGGGACTCCGACAAATCCTGTCCCAAGACACTATGGGAAGGGCTTAGAGAGACCCCTACCCCAGCTCAGCTAGAAGACTCTGGGAGGTGGCCCCAGAGTATAAACTGAAAGGTTTAGAGAGAGCCACCCCCACCCTCCAGGAACATTTTGGAAGGAACTCCTAGGACGGTGGGAAGGCGTTCAGAGACCCCAATCTCTGAGCAGGATGATAGGGGCCAGAGGCTTCTGAGTGCATTATGGGAATATGGGAAGAGGCCCCAGATCACTGGGGTACTCAGAGGACTATGAGGGCAGAGCCTCTGTTCCAGGAAAGACCACCATTGGATAGTGGTGGCCCCCAGTTCTTGGGGCTGTCCTCCATTTGGGGTTTTCATTCCCCCCACCTTTGGCCTCAGTGTCGGGGGGGGGGGAGCCCTGGATGAATGGCTGGGCCAGGAGAAGGCAGCTGGTGCCTCCAGGGATGTCACTTAGCTCTTGTGAACCTTCGTCACCCTCAGGGCTCCTCCTAAAGGGGTTGGGTGTGGGTGCTGCTATTTGCCTTATAGCTCGCTCCTCTCCCTGAGCCCCCATGCACCCCTCCCTCTCTAAGCTCACACCTTCTTCCCTAATTCCACATGCAAGGAGAGGTACAACTGACCAGATGGGGGGCTCCAGTTTGACAAGTGAATGCCAGGGTAGCTGTTGGCAGATGCTCACTCACTTCCCTGACCTCAGTCCTTCTGACAGACAAGGAAGGGGGGGAACAGCTGTCGCCAGATGAGGTGCTGGACGAGGCTGTGCCATGGTACCGGGCCCCAGGGAGGAAGAGCCTCCTAGAGATCCAGCAGCTGGACCCAGATGATGAGAGCCTAGCCAAGTACAAGCGGGTGCTTCTGGGTTCCCTGCCGCCAGCTGTGGGTATGCATGGGCCCTGGGTGTGAGAGGGGCAGGGTGGGGATTTGGGGGTGCATCCTGTAGACCTCCAATTTCTCCTTAGACCCAAGCCTGCCTAACGTGCAGGTGACCAGGCTGACACTGATGTCTGAGCAGGCTCCAGGGCCCATGACCATGGACCTCACAGGTAATCCCTACCTGCAAACCAGAGTGATCTTTGAGGTAGAGCCCTCTTAGAACTCCGTGCCCAAACCCTAGTCCTCAGACCCATCACATAGACTTCACAGATACCGCCTCACTATGGGGGCTCCTGGGGCAGGGTCTCAGCATCGCAGGAGTTTGTTCCTCAGCTGCACTTTCCCTAACAGGGGAGCTGGCTGCGCTGAAAAATCAGGTGTTCGTCCTGAAGGAGGGTGTTGATTACAAAGTGAAGATTACCTTTAAGGTGAGGGCAGCTGTCATGGGCAATGCCAGCCACTACAGGATCATCTCCCCAAAGGGACCCCTTAACACTCTTTGTCCCTCAGGTCAATAAGGAAATTGTCAGTGGCCTCAAGTGTCTGCATCACACCTACCGCAGGGGCCTGCGAGGTGAGGGTCATGTGAAGGGGTGGCCTGGGGGCTGGGGGAGCAGGGGCCAGTGGGACAGAGGGCAGCTCCTGATGCCCTCCTCCCCCCACAGTGGACAAGGCTGTGTACATGGTGGGCAGTTACGGCCCAAGCGCCCAGGAGTATGAGTTTGTAACTCCAGTGGAGGAGGCGCCGCGAGGCGCACTGGTGAGGGGCGCCTACGTGGTCACATCCTTCTTCACTGATGACGACAGGGCAGACCACCTTTCCTGGGAGTGGGGCCTCCACATCTGCCAAGACTGGAAGAGCTGAGCGCCCACGCCCCTGCCCTGCCCTGGGAGCTGTCTTCCCACTTGGGGTCCTTGTTTCCTCTGCTTCTGTCAGTCACTGTTCAGGGACCCCAAAGCATTCCCCAGCCCCCTCAGTCAGTGACCAGACCCCTCATGCCCTCCGCCCTGTCTCGGGATACCCCCTTCCCGGGCTTGGCACTGTGCCCTGAATAGCCCTATTAAACTTCACCCTGTCTCAGTGCCCACAGTGTTGCCTGTGTCTGCCTCCCCTCCCCCGGGGGTGGGGGGAGCCTGTGGCCTTATCTTTCCTGAGACCAGGACTGGGTGCCACGTGGCAACTCCTGCTTGGCCCCCAGCCCCCTTATCTGCCCCCGCCCCGTGGGGCCCGGCACTGCCATGGACAGCCAGCTCCTGTCTGTGCTGCTGCTGCTGCTGCTCGGGGCCTCGGGCCTGTGGGGCCAGGGGCCAGGGCCCGGGGGGCCCTCAGAGGAGCCCCAGAAGGAGGAGGTTCCTGAGGAGGATGGGATCTTGGTGCTGAGCCACCGCACCCTGGGCCTGGCCCTGCAGGAGCACCCTGCCCTGCTGGTGGAGTTTTGTGAGTGCACAGGGTCAGCAGGGCTGGGGGACCCACCAGTGTCATCCAGTGAGCTCAACCCCCTACCACGTGGATCTGGGGGCTTACCCACTTGAAAGGGCTTTCCTGATGGGCACTTGGCTCCATCAGAGGGCACCTGAGGCAGAGCCCTGGGGCTGAGCTGGGGCTGAGGGTCCAACTTGAACAGGTGGGAGGGGAGGCACAGGTGTAGGGGAGACCCATGGTCGTTGTCCTTCTGCAGAACTGTGAAGGGCCAGATAAAACTCACACCTCGCATGTTCTTCTGTGACTTTTTTACAACCCTTTACACATGTGAAAGCCACTGAGCTGGCAGGCCTCAGCAGGCAGCGGCATATGGCAGGGAGCGCGCCTTAGGGAGCAGCAACGGAGGATTCTTCTCAGACTCACGGTCTGGATGGTGCTGACCACTGCACTCCTGATCTGGGAGCCCTGAGTAGTCTGGTCTCTGGTGCTTGGGCTTAGTGTGGCTGAGGCTTGGGTGGGCCCCTGAAGGAAGGAGGTATACAGGACATGCTCCATGCTGGACCTGACCGACCCCACGTCTGCCAGCTCTGGCCGGGCGGGAGCAGGGGCTACAGTTGGGGTTATGGAGGCTGCGGGCACTCATGGCCCTGTCCCCCAGATGCCCCGTGGTGTGGGCACTGCAAGGCGCTGGCCCCAGAGTACATCAAGGCAGCTGCCCTGCTGGCGGCAGAGTCAGCCAAAACCAGGCTGGCCAAGGTGGATGGGCCTTCAGAGCCAGAGCTGACCAAGGAGTTTGCTGTGACAGAATACCCCACGCTCAAGTTCTTCCGTGATGGGAACCGCACGAATCCAGAGGAATATACCGGTACAGGGGGCAGGCATGTGTGAGGTGGTATGGGGCAGGGGCTGGGCCCAAGCTAATGGGACTCTCCACAGGCCCCAGGGAAGCTGAGGGCATTGCTGAGTGGCTAAGGCGGCGTGTGGGGTCCAGCACCACACGCCTGGAGGATGAAGAGGGCGCCCAAGCATTGATAGATGCCCAAGATGTAGTGGTCATCGGCTTCTTCCAGGTGAGCTAGTGACATGGGGCCAGGCCTTGGGAGCAGGGCCTGTGGCCCCAGGTAGCCTCATAGACGTGGACCCCTTAGGATCTGCAGGATGAAGACGTGGCTACCTTTCTGGCTCTGGCCCAGGATGCTCTGGACATGACCTTCGGCCTTACTGACCGGCCACAGCTCTTTCAGAAGTTTGGCCTCACCAAGGACACCGTGGTCCTTTTCAAGAAGGTGGGTCAGGGCCAAGGTGGGGTTAGAGTCAAGGCTATGGCTCCTACTAACCCACCCCGTGTTGTCTAGTTTGATGAGGGGCGGGCAGACTTCCCAGTGGATGAGGAGCTGGGCCTGGACCAGGGTGATCTGTCCCGCTTCCTCCTCACGCACAGCATGCACCTGGTCACAGAGTTCAACAGCCAGGTGAGTTGGGCTGCGGGACAGGAGTAGGTGCTGGGGGGAGTGGGAGGGTGACCATGGAAGCCAGCCCCCATGAGTCCGGCCTGTCCCTGCAGACATCCCCCAAGATCTTTGCAGCCAGGATCCTCAACCATTTGCTGCTGTTCATCAACCAGACACTGGCTGTGCACCAGGAGCTGCTGGCGGGTTTCAGGGAGGCGGCTCCCCCGTTCCGAGGACAGGTACTGCCTGGGTGGGCTAGGGAGGCAGGTGGTGGGGAGGCCAGGGCCCAGTGCATACTCCCTGCCGGCAGGTGCTGTTTGTGGTAGTGGACGTGGGTGCCGACAACAACCACGTGCTGCAGTACTTCGGGCTCAAGGCAGAAGAGGCTCCCACCCTGCGCTTCATCAATATGGAGACCACCAAGAAGTACATGCCTGCAGATCAGGGGCTGGTCACTGCGGCCTCGGTCACTGCCTTCTGCCACTCGGTCCTCAACGGCAAGGTCAAGGTCCGTGCTGGGTGTCCCACCCAGGGTGTGGGGGTGGGAGCAGCAAGTTCTCAAGAGAGATCCTCAACAAAGCACCTGCCCAATTCCCCCCAGCCCTATCTTCTGAGCCAGGAGGTCCCCCCTGACTGGGACCAGCGTCCAGTCAAGACTCTTGTAGGCAAGAATTTCGAGCAGGTGGCTTTTGATGAAACCAAGAATGTGTTCATCAAGTTCTGTGAGTGTGGAGAGCAGTGGACAGTTGGTAGGTGGGCAGTACAGGGTCCTGCTGTCTGTACCAACATCCCCTGTCCTAGATGCCCCATGGTGTACCCACTGCAAGGAGATGGCGCCAACCTGGGAGGCACTGGCCGAGAAGTACAGGGACCACGAGGACATCGTCATTGCTGAGCTAGATGCCACGGCCAATGAGCTGGAGGCCTTCGCTGTGCAAGGCTTTCCCACCCTCAAGTATTTCCCAGCAGGGCAGGGTCGGAAGGTGAGGCAGGACCCTGTCTTCCTTGGTCTGAGTCCTCAGATGGAGGCGGGCAAGGACTGGGGCAGGAAAGGGTCTTGGCTAGACCCTTGGCTAGAGTGGGGTCTTAGCCAGGTAGAGTCTAGGGTGGGTGTGGCCTGGGTAGGGCATGATCTGGGAGGACATGGTGTGTCCTTCAGACCTTCCTGCCCCTCCTCAGGTGATTGAATACAAAAGTGCCAGGGACCTGGAGACCTTCTCCAAGTTCCTGGACAATGGGGGCAAGCTACCCGAAGAGGAGCCCATCGAGGAGCCCTCAGCCCCCTTCCCAGTGAGTGCCTCCGACCCAAGATTCCAGGCCTCTGGACGAGTCTTTGGATGGGTGGCTATGGGACTGACTGGGCAAGGTTGGGCTAAGGGTGCAGCCTCCAGCTGGGCCTCTGTGACCTTTTCCAGGAGACAATAGCCAATTCCACCACGGATCTGAAGGAGGAACTATAGCCACCCTATCAGTGCTGGGAGCCATCTCTTCGGATGCCTGGGAAGCTGTGGGCATTGAATAAAGTTTTGGTTCTGGACTGTGTGTGGTTCCTGAGCATGGCTGGCCCTCAGCCCTTGGCTCTGGCCAAATCTCAGCCTCCTGGGCTTCCATGTTAGATGGGACCTAGCCCTTGCCCCCAGCCCTCCTCAGCAGATCCCTGGCTCAGGAAGTGGGGGCATGGTGTTGCTGCCCGCTTTGGCCCTTCACTCTCCAGTGCTCTGCCACCATGGCTCCACACGATACTCCACTCTCAAGACTCTTGGACGCTCAAGACAGACCGCATGTACGGGAATATGGCTGAGGATGGCGTGCCCACCCACCAGGCCCCACGGACAGAAGACCTGTGCACTCCATAGCCAGGGAAGGTTCAAAACTGGTTTTATTTCATTATTATCCAAGTACCTTTGAAAAGATAATTGTACAAGTCAGCGCATGAAAAATGGGCTCGGGGCAGCGCCCTGCTAGCCCTAGCCTGAGAAATGTACATATTTACATGGGCCCTTAGAAAGAAGGGGCCCGGGACCCGCTGAGCCGGCGTTGTGGAAACTGAGGGTGGAGAGGGAGCACTAAGGTGCCCCGTCGCCGGATCCACATAGTGGCAGGCAAGAGACAAGCTGTGTTGAAGGCACTCGGTGACATGTACAATTTAGAGGCCCCTAATGGCCCCCTGAACCCCAGGCCTGAGCTGGCCCTGACCAGGGCAGGGCATGGTGGGCAATTCCTGGAGGGAGAAGCAGAGTCCTGGCGGGAGATGCCAGGCAGTTGGCCCCTGGTTAGCAGCAGGGGTCCTCTGGGGAGGGTCATCAAGTCAGCCCCATGGGGGATGGGGGCTCCCTGCTTATTTGGGTGGACTCTCAGAGTAGTGCTATGGAGGGGGTGGGGCCCCTTCCTTGTTGGCAGCAGGACAGATGCCTGTATGACCACTCAACGGGACCCCTGTTCACCTGAACACAGATGAACCAAAGGGTTGGCGGCTAGGGGGCAGGTAGTCCCTGGCCTCACACAATGAGCTGTGTGTTTGCACACACGAGAGCACCTGACATGGCAGAGCCCTACCTAGCCCTCAGTGTGGCCTTCCCCGCCCCCACCTGACGAGGGCCCAGCCTGGTGCAGAGGCCTGGCCTGCTGGTCAGTCCACCTTCTCCACCTTGCCAATGATCTTCTCCTCAAAGACAGGCAGGATGGCCTCATCTTCCCGAACCTCCTCAAACACCACTCCACAGTCAAACTCGTCACTCACTTTCTTGAAGTAGTATCTGGGGGATGGGCAAAAGAGAAGATAAGGACCTGTCCACTCTCCTGCCCACACCACTGGGGCCTCCTAGCTCCTAGCTGGGTGGCCCCATCGTTCCACACATGCACAGCACTTGGCAGCCACACTCCAAACACCATCATGCAGGTCATGCGAGCTGACAGTGAACAACACAGTGACCACATGTGGGGTCCTCTGCTCTGGCCTCCTAGAGTGCTATGGGGAAGGAGTAGCAGATTTGGGGTTTCTGTTTCCTAAGGGCTGAGCCTGTCATCTCCATCAGGGTGTTGTGCCCCCACTAAGGCCCAAGCAGAGGCCAGTGGAGCCCAGCCCTCCTCTAGTGGTCACACCCTCTACCTCCAAAGGACACTTTCTTGACAGTGGACAGAAGAAACCACCCACCCCAGGCCACAGCGGGCTGACCCCAGCTGAGACCCCATGTGGCCCCTTCTCTGCAGCGCTCACTCAGGAACCTTCAGAGGCTGGTCTCAGGCTGGGAAGGCAGAGCAGCCCACAGCAGACCCTGGGAAGGGGGACCCCCTGGATCCTAGGAAAGGGGACCCTGGCTTCTATGTCTAGTAAAAATGGGTTGAGTCAGAAGGCTGGAGACGAGGTCAGACTGGCATGGGGACAGACAAACCACAGTGTTTGGGCCTGTTTTCCCACCTTTAAGGCAAAGACTGTCCAGACCCCTTGGTTAGCCTGAAGGCCTCAGTCCCCTAAGGCTGGGAGTTGGGGCTGGGAGCCTTGAGGCCACCAATACCTCCCACATCAGGGTGCTCCTACCAGCAGCTCAGGGTTGGTAAAGCAGGTAAGGACTAGATGGGATAAGAACAGCGCACAACACTATCTCCTGGGCAGGGTACCTGCTTACTACAGGCCACAGCCCTTAACTCTCACCTGTAGTTGCCTTTCTTGGTCAGCAGTTCCTTGAACTGGCCCAGGGTGACCGCATGGCCCCTCACCAGGGTCCGGTAGGGGATGGGTTCTCCACAGAAGTAGTAGGCCACGACGATGCTGTCACACAACTGGGCACTCCCACCACCCGCCTTCCTCTGTGATTTCGTCCTGGAGGCAGAGACACAGTGGTTATTGCTGAGCTCCGAGTCCCACAGGGCACCCCCTACAACAGGCCTCAGGCCTTAGGTTCTCCAGTAAACGACGGGGCAAGGCCTGCAGGGGTAAGCTGCAACACACTCAGACACGGCCCCATGCCCAGCCCACCCACAGGCCCCAATGCCCATCCCACCCACAAAACTGCACCCAGCCCCCAGGGGCCCTTGCCCCGCATGGTATTTCAACCCAGGGTTCCAATCCTGCGCCAACCCCACGCACAAAGATACACAGCGCGGACGCCAGCTCATCTCCCCCCACAGTGCCTCAGCTTACTTGCCACCCTCCTCCCCCCACTGGAAACCCCAAGTCTCACGGTGGCCTGAGCTGGCTAATGGGCAGCACCCCTGACACAGATCACGTGACAGTGAGCCAGCAGGCTGCTCAGGGCTGGAATCCACAGTGGATCCTTCCACCTGGCTTCTTACGATAGTAGCCAGTCCACTAGAACCAATGCAGCCCTGCCTCAGGATGGATTACACTACTTGTACCCTAGTAAAGCCCACTGCCCCCAAACTTCAGAAACATCTGAAGGCCAGGGACTGCACAACTAGAACTGTGACGGATCTTGAAATGGACCTGCCCCACAGCAGAGAGCTTATCCAAAGACCAGAGGCAGCGGCCAGCCAGATTTCCAGACAGGTGTGAGGCCAGCGCCATCTCCAGCTCACACTAGGGTAGGGCCCTCATCCTAATGGGTGCTGAGCAGCCACTTTGTCTGGGACAGGCAGTACTCCCTCTGTCCCGCAGCACCCCTGGTCCTTGTGACTGCTCTGAAACTGCTCAGGTACATGTGAGCACACTACTTGGCTCCTGCCAGCTGGGCATGGTAGGAAGCTTCCTGCATCAGTGTCATGTCAGGAAAGCCACCTGAGCTCACAGGGGGCTCTTCTCTCCCTGGGGACCTCCCCCTCCCCGGTGCTCCTAGCACACACTGTGCAGTCACTTCATTTGCGCAGCTGTCTACCACTTGAGCCACACTCCATGGCCCCTGCTTTCCTTCACTTAGTCCTAAAACCTCAAACCCAGCCTGCCCTGGGAGCCTGGCTCAGGGTCCTGTGTGGGCCTGTTCTCCACAGAAGGGAGGCAGGGTTTCTGCCCCCTCCAGGGCCCACCCGGGAGGAGTGACCTGGTGGGGAGGCTCTGAGCTGGCTGGCATTGTCTGGGGTAAGCCAGTGAGGGCCGAGGTGGGGGACCACCTTCTGCTCCGTCTTGAGCAGAAGTGCAGGGATGGGGCGACCAGCACGGTCTGTATGTGACCTGCAGCTCCCTAACGCCCACCCTCCTCCACATACACTTAGGGAGCGTATGCATCCCACGTGAGAACCCAGGTTCACTGTGCGCACAGCATCTGAACGAACATGCACGCAGGTGCTGATGCTTTCAGTCCGCAGTGTGTCAAAGGAACCATGGCGGCAGTCCTGACCATCTCAAGTCCCGAGCCTGGCTGGGAATCTCGGTAAAGTAAAGGCAGGCGGGGGTGACATGTGCCCAGAGTAGAGGAGGCAGAGCAGACCTCCTCTCTAACCTGTTGGTCATTTGTCACCACATGAACAGTCAGTGTCCCCTTTGACGGAGACAGGAAGAAAGGCCTTCGAACAGCTTGCAGCCCCAGCTCCTCCAGTGCAGTGCCCGGGCTCCCGCCCTGGGAATAGCTGCTGCTCCATAGCCCCTGGCCCACAGCACAGGCTGGGCGAGCAGTATGAGAGGACCCGCAGGGGACGCACGTACTCTGTCTCGGAGAGCTCCGTGTCGGACACTGCTGGCACCACGCTCAGCACGGGCGTGCACACCGGCCTGACGCAAGAGCGCCCCCGCTGGATGACCTCCTGCACATACCTAGGGAACAACCGCGTCAGTGAGCCACACAGGCCTGGGGCAGAGCCGCCTCCACACTCCGCGGTGACAAGGTGACAGACAGCAGGCGGAGCACATGCTCCCCAAGAGATTCCATCACCACCACGCAAGGCTACCACTGTGTGAGATGGAAAAACCCCTTCTTGGGTGGTGAAGCTGTCAGGATGAGTCAAGAAACAGATGTTGCCTTCATCATTCAGATTCCCCAGATTCCTCGTTTGTGGTCAGAGCCCTTGGGCTCCCTGGAACACACTTTTGGGAACACCTCATCTGAGGCGCTAGGATCCTGTCATTTCACCCACACTGAGAGAATCTGCCTCTGGCCTTCTCCCCATGGGCACAGCTCTTTCCGCTTGGCGCTCTGATGTGGGCCTAGGTCCTGGAGTATGGTCACTGCTCTGTCCAAAGCAGCCAGAGTCCTGTTCTGCAGCTCGCTGCCCAGCAGCTCGTCTCCAAGTGGTCATCCACCCTGGCAATGCGCTGTGCAACCCTGACAGTAGTTTCTGCTCTGACAGACCTGGGTGGGGGTCACCCCACAAGGAGCTCAGGAGTCCCGGAACCCCAACTGCCACCTCCAGAACTCTGCTCCGTGGCCATTTACAAAAGGCCCACATACCCTGGACTGACGACATGTGGAGATGCCAGAGCCACTGGCTGAAACCCCACAGGCAGCTCACCCCCCAAAACATGAGTCACAGAATGGCTTCACTGGCCACAGACAGACCACTATTGTGAGGGTTGGGTGGGTGCTTGTGGGAAGCGGGCACGCAGGTCCTAACCCCTGAAGATTACAGCAAAAATGAGGTCCCAGGAAGCTCCTGGCAGAGGGAGAATTCCAGCCTTTGCGCCCTGGCCTCTCCCCAGGCCTCCCTCTGCTGCCCTGTCACAGGTGTCCTGCACAGAGTCGGCTGGCTCAAGTTGACCAAACAAGATCAGAGTGTGACAGTTGGCTATAAAAAACATGGTCACCTTCAATGACCTGGGGGCCACCTTTAGGCTTCCACCTGTGCCTGATGAGATGGACACCGGGGAGAGTTCGCACCTGACACCAGCTTCCTCAGAGCAGCATAGCCCCACACACAGTGAGGCCCATGGGAGGTGAAGTCAGGAACCAGACGACTGAAGACTGGGCAGGGGGAACCAGTAATGTCTGAAGAAACATTGGCCATGATGCCAGGCCCCTTAGAAACCTTTATTGCCTGGGGATTCCAATGAACCGGGCATGTCTGCAAAAGGTGACCTCAAGGCCCAGCTGAAAGGGTCAGGGAAACCACACTCCTGCCTGGTGAGAAGATCGGCCACCCCTACTGTCCCTGAGGAGAGAACAGGGCCTAGCCTAAGGCCATGGAGGCAGCAGGTTGAGCCACTCTGCTCTTGAAGGTCAAAGAGGGCATAGTGAGGAGTAGCTGGGGTCACTGCAGAAGTGTTTTACACTTGCAGACTTCAGCACTGTTTACTGTCCAACCTGCAGGTGGCACCAGTTAAGGCTCCTGAATGGAGGCAGCCAGGACCCCCTGGGACCAACACCTCTAAGCTCAGCATGCACAGCAGCCAGTGGTGACCTAACTGTGTGACCTCCAGCAGTTCTGTGCCACTAAGGGGACCCCATGGCCTCCCACAAACACCCAGGCTAAGTGCATGCTCAGAAAGGAGAGCAGGCATAATCAGGGGGCATCCTCTCCTCCCCATTACAGGGTAATGACTACTTGCCCTCCCAGCTCTTGGTCACTCAGCAGAGCTGTGTGGAAGAAAATGCAAAAGAAAAACCCAGTACTGCCGGTGGGCACCCAGTGTGGCTCTATGTATGCACCTCAGGCCTCAGGGAGCTCCACCCCAAAGCATAGCCAGGGCACCTGGAGGGGCCCTGAAAGGTGCCAGCTCTGCTCTCCCCAATAGCCCTGTACCTTTGCTTCGAGGGCAACTTGCTGGCTCTCTTCTCTTCCTCCTCCAGGCGCCTGCGGGCCTCCTCCAGCTGGGTCAGAGGGTTGGGGGCTGGGTTGGGTGGCATTGTGGGGTCTTGAATGAAGAGATGAGAGGGCTGGACAGAGTTCCGGAGCTGAGCGCTAACCCAAGGGTGCACAGCCCCAGGACGCTCAATGGACAAGGGCCTAGAGCTTTCGTGAATCTGTTGCTTCTTTGCCCCAGAAGACCTTTGAAAGCAAGAGAACAGATGTGGCAGAACCTGAAACCTCAGAAGCCATGTGAACATCAGCAATTACCTCTTATACTACATGACACAAACGTTCCTTTCCTAAACACTTTTTCTGTAACTCATTTTAAAAAAATCCTGACCTGAGGACATGCTGAGAGAGAGAGAGAGAGAGAGAGAGCCCTGGCCGGTTTGGCTCAGCGGTTAGAGCGTCGGCCTGCGGTCTGGAGAGAGAGAGAGAGAGCGCGCGCGCGCGCGAGCGCGAGAAACAGCAATCCATCACCTTCTGCACGTGCTCCAACCAGGAATTGAACCCACAACCTGGGTATGTATCCTGTTGATGAATCGAACTGGCAACCCTTCTGTGCACAGGACGATGATCTGAGCCACTCCAGCCAGGCTGTAACTCATTTTTAACAGCTTATTAAAATATAAATCATATCCTATACAAAGACTTCAAAAAAATAAAATTAAAAAAATGTTTTGATATTTAATGTTCTTTGTGAAAAACCTAAACTATGTAGGAAATTCAAAGAAAAAAATCTATAATTTAGAAATAGTCAAAATATTGATCTATTTCCTTCCCCATTAAAAAGACTTAACACACTGCCTGGCCGGTGTGGCTCAGTGGATCAAGCATCGTCCCATGGACTGAGAAGTCCCGGTGCAATTCCCAGATTCCCAGTCAGGGCACATGCTGGGTGGGGTTTCTGGCTCGATCCACATTAGGGGGTGTGCAGGAGGTGGCTGATTGATGTTTCTCTTTCACATAGGTATTTCTTTCTCTCCCCCTTCCTCTTCCTCTAAAAAAATCATTAAAAACATATTTTAAAAAATACTTAACATACTTGGCTTTATTCTAAACATAATTTTTCCAGCCTTTTCCCTCTTGAAGTGGTATCATGCTTTTCTCTCTTGTTCAACACTGACAATGTGCTTCACACCGGTGTACTTGACGCCATTACTCAACCACTGGATGGGATTCAAGTGAAAATGTCAGCCTCTCAGCTATAGCTAGAAAGGGGGATGGGTCTCAGCACCAGGAGCAAAGATGAGGGAACCCAAGAGGGTCCTTGGGAAGTGGGTTGGTCCAGAGCTCTCATGACATCAGAACTGCCCAAGGAAAAGTACCCAGGGGAGGTGGGCTCCTCCTCCTACAAAGTCCCAGGCTGGCTCAGGGAGACCTTGGCCCCCACCACCCCCTCACCATTTCCCATGCCTCAGCCCCCTTCATCCCCATCTTCCTAACCTCCTTACCTCCTCACCCCTCACTCCCTGTCCCCTGCCCCTACATTTCCCTGCCCCCCATGTCCACCAGCCCACCTGCCTTATGTAAGAACAACAAAGGCAGAGGCCTTAAAGTCCCCGGACTCCAGGGAGACGAGAGGGCCTGGTGGGTACACTGACGGCCGTCATTTAAAATAGCCTATCTGATGACAGAAGCCTCTGGAACCTGGGAGGCTATTTCTAAATGTGTCTCTCACTCTTCAGCCATAGAAACCCTCCGTTTCGGGTGGTAGGACTGGCCAGGACAGACCCATTCCTTGTGAAAATCCACGAGAGAGAAATCCAGAGAAGCAGAGAACTGACCCCACCCCAACCAGAGCAGGAGAGAAGCTCCTGGAGAGGCCCCTCACCAGGACAGGCTTTGTGGCTGCAAAGGGGTCTGGACACTGCTGGAGGGCTAATTCCCATGATCAGGCTCACCAGCCTCACACACACAAATTCAGTTCTCCCAAACCATGGCCAAAGAATGCGGAGGGTCAGGGAAATCTGAGAACGAGGAAGCGACAGCTTGCCCACCAACAAACGAATGCCACCAGCCCCAGGCCTGTGGCTCCTGGTTGTCACCAACCTCTGGCCCATTCACATCTAAGCCAGCCCTGTCCACCTTAGGATGGATGACTTCATGTAGGGCAGTGAGGGCGTGTCTAGGGGGCCTGGCTTCACACCCCTGGAGAAGCCTCTGGCCCTGTGGGGCAATCCAGAGCTCAAAGGGACACAGACTAAACAAGAACCTTCTCCCACCCACCAATGAGGGGACGACCAGGTACAAACACAAAAGGCTTCTCCAGAAGCGTGTCTGTCTGGAATTGGTGTCAGGTACCTGCCTCACACTTCACCACCTCAATGGGGTACAGCAGCAAGAGGAGCTCACAGAGAGGCATGGTGACTTCAGACTGACCTCACCAGTGGGTACTCCAGCCCAAGACACTGAAACTGCATCCGGGACCCCAGCCCATCACAGGTCCACACAGGGCAGGCTCATGCTGTGACGGGTCAAACATGACCCCTTTGAATGATTATTTCCACTGTACATGGTTTGTAGTAAGACACTGGTGGGGCCACAACACACAGGACACTGGCAAAGTAGCTCTAGAGGCATGCCAGCTGGTTCTACACACCTGTGCCCACACCCTCAGGCCATCAGCTGCTGCTTACCCATGGCCAGCTTTCCTGTGCCTGCTGATTTCCTTCTCCCCCTCAATGATCCACTGCATGATCTTCTGGTTCTTCTCTGCATCCTCCGAAGAGCCTGGCACCTCAGCACTGGCACTCTTCCCTGACTCAGCCTTCTTGGCATTTCTTTTGGAGGTTGTGCCAGCCTTCCCACTGTAAAAGCAAGACCTGGGGGTCACCTATTGACTCTATTTGGCCCATCATTGGATGGCTGGCCACCTCTGCTCCACATCCTATACGGCTCCCTAAATGTGGAGGCCTTGACAAAGTGGCATGTTCCAGCAGTTTCTGCCCCGTCTCTAGGTCATTGGGGTTTGTTTCACACTCCTCTATGGTAAGAAGTGAAGGAAGGCAGCACTGGCTGAGATGGCTGGAACCAAAGATCAGCTGCAACACACTTGCCTGTCTTCTGTCCTTCCAGCCCAGGTCAGGGCCCAGACACTCCTTCTCACCCAGACACTTCCCTCTAAAATGGATCTTTATCCAACCACACTTTATGGCTGGAGTTCCAGCCGGACCTGCACTCCAGGCAGAGGCCTGGTGCCTAGACCTGGCACCTGAGTTTGTGGCCATGACATGCCTGCAGTCTCTGCAGCTGACCTTGGTTTAATGACTTCTATTTATTTATTTTTTGGTAATGACTTTAAAAGGGGAATTCTAGCCTAGAATACGAGAACAGAATCCACAGGAAGTATGGCCTCTCACTTCGACCCCTTCCAACCTGGGAAGACACGTGTGCCCCTCATGGACACAAGCCCAGGGACAAAGGATCCATAACCCCGATCTCAAAGCATGGCTCAGGCCACCACAGATACTCACCTGTAGCCCAGGCTGTCGCTGGCACTGGGGGTGGTGCCCACGTTCTCTAAGTGGCTTCGGGTCTTGGCTGCATGGCTATGCAGCTCTGGGCCCCACGAGAAGCTGCTCTGTACCCGGCGGGCAGCCTCAGCCTCAGCCTGCTCCTTGGGCCTGGCCACACCGTGGTGGCTGTGGTGGTGGCTGTGCCTGTGGAGGTGCAGGCCAGCTGCCTCCAGCTTTGCCCCCAATTTGGGCACATGCTTACCATGCCCCAGGGTTGCGTTCCCCAGCACCCCTGACATCTTGGGCATGTGTACACTGTCAGGGGAGCGGTGGCCAGGCCCGGGCGACTGGCAGCCAGGAGTCCTCATGACCCGCTGCACATGCTCGTCTAGGATGCTCTCAGGGTTCTCTTCATGTGCATCCCGCAGCCCTGTGCAGCCTACGTCTGCGTAGCGGGGTGGGAAATTGTGCCAAGTTGGGGCCAAAGGCAGCTTATGACTGGCCCCTGGGGGGGCAGAGGACACATCGCCATCCTCGCCTTCTTCCTCCTGTAGGGACAAGGCTTCATGTTACCTCTCAGCACCTGCTGCACCAAGGAAACCTTACACTTGAGGAAACAAACAACAAATTACAAACAACCACCAAAAATACACAAAGCCTGTCAGTGTGTGCCGTGCCCTGGGGGTCAGGAGTACTCAGCCCAGGATGAGACAAGGGCTAGGGGAGGTGCTGCCTAGCTCCTGAGAAACTTTTCTGTCTCTGCTGACCCCTGAGTAAGCTTGGTTGGGCTCTCAGCAGGCTATGCTGCAAGCCAGGGTGCAGACAGGATGTAGAAAGGGAGCTGTGCTCACCCACAAGTGTGAAAGGGTACACAACTGTCCCACACCAATGATTCAGGGAACACATCAATGCCGGTCCAGACCACAGAGAAACCCCTTCTTTGGTTTAATTTTCTTTTATGCTTCTCAATGAAGACTTTTGTTTTCTTTCAGTTAAATTTTCCTATTCCTCAATTTATACTGCCATATTTTCCACTGTATTTTCAAAGGGAATATGGCCCTTGTACAGAAGAGCTCTTGTTTATTGTTTATCTTGCTATGTGTTTCTTGATAAATTCTCACATTCAACTAATTGAATTTTATCCAGTTCTCTAAGAGTTAACCATATCTGTAAACATAAACATTTTGTCATTTTAATTTCAAAAGACACATGTCATATTTGTTTTCTCATCTTATTAAATTGTCCAAACCAGAATAATGTTGAGTGAATTCGGTAATAATTGAAAAATAACAGGAATTAAGCTAAACCTGTACTTTAATATAAAAAAGATCTTGCCCTGGCTGGATTGGCTCAGCAGTTAGAGCATCAGCCTGCAGACCAGATAGTTGCGGGTTCGATTCTGATCGAGGACACGTATCTCAGTTGCAGTTTGGTCCCTGGCCCTGCTCAGGGTCATGTGGGAGGCAACCAGTGGATGCGTCTCTTTTGCGATGTTTCTCTCTCTCAGAAGATAAAAATGGAAAAATGTATCCTTGGGTGAGGATTAACAAATAACAAAACAAAACAAAGAGAGAAGGGAACCAACAGATGGAGGGTGCATGCACCCCCAAGCCACCTCATCAGAGACTTGGACCCCTGGGCTCCCACACCCCATCCCATGTCCCCATCCCAACCCCTTAGCTTTGCAGGGCTAAGAGACCAAGAGACTTTACACTGGGGGGAGGGGGTCTTCCCAGGGAACTGAAAGTATTGAAGCCATTTGCTCTCTAAGGCAGCAGCAAGCAAGAGAAAACCTCTGACCCCTGAGAAGTGGGGGAATGCAAACCTTGAGCTGAGATCCAGTTTTCTTAATAGTTCTGCATATGTAAGAGTTCAATTTTACAGTTTTGAAATGTTATAGATTTAATTAATTGTTCAGCTAATAGTTTTCATTTTCTTCTTTGCTTTTATTTTAAAACATGTATAATAAAATTTATTTAAAAATTCTGCAGTTATTCCTTTTTGTCCCCCATATTTTTTTTTCGTCTTTTTAAAAATTTTATATCAGCCTTGTTGAAACAAGGCCACCAAAAATTTGGTTGTCTCCCCCCAGAAAAAATGGGGGAGAAAGAGAAGATCCCCATATTTTTTCTTAATTGATTTTAGAGGGAGAGGGAGAGAGAGACAGAAACATCGATGAGCGTGAACATCAACTGTTCTGCATGCCCCTCACTGGAGACTGGGCCCATAACCTGGACATGTGCCCTGATCGGGAATCGAACTGGTGACCTCTTGATGTATGGGTCGATGCTCAACCAGTGAGCCACACCGGCTGGGCTGTAGTTATTCCTTTTTTAAAAAAATGACTATTATTTACAGCACGATTTATTTAGATTACAAAGTTGCACATGATAACAAAGACTGCTGCTGGGCAGTGTGCCACTCCCAAGGACTAAGGGACACCTGTGGGAGCAAACCCGCTACAGCAGCTTCAGGCCTGAGCACATGACCGAGAGTCCGGGCACCCATGTCTGAAGGCCACTGCAGGCCATTGCATGTGGCAAGCCCAACTGAGCTTGAGGCTATGTGCCTGCCAATGAGTTCCTAAACTGATAATGGAGAAGTACAAAGGACTGTTCACTTGAACATTTCTGTCAAAGAACACTGTTGGGTATTAGCAGCTGGGTCCAGCCCATCTTGAGAGCTGGTGGTAATTCCAGACATAGCCGCTTTGTACCTTTCAGTGACACCAGAGAAAAAACATGAGTCAGACATCAGAAAAACACATAATACCCACAGCCACAACTGCCTTCACAATGTCTCACCCAAAACCTTCACCTGCCAAGGACCACAAGCATTCAACCACCGAGCCAAGACTAAAAACTTGACAGAACAATTACAATAGCTCAATTCTATAGCAAAAATGCGGTGAATTCTTCCTTTCTTAGACTTCTTTTAAGCAACATTACACATATTGCCCTGGCCATTTTGACTCAGCGGTTAGAGCGTCAGCCCGGGGACCAGAGAGACCCGGTTCCCGCTAAGGGTACGTACCTTGGTTGCAGTTTGTCCCCGGCCCCCACTGGGGTTGGGGTCGTGTGGGTGGCGACCAGTTGATGTGTCTCTCTCACATCAATGTTTCTCTCTCTCTTCCCCCCTCCCCTCTCTCCCTTCCGCTCTATTTAAAGATAAATGGGGGAAAAAACGTCTCTGGGTGAGGATAAAAAAAAGGAACATTACACACATTATTTCCTGAGCACATTTGTTTTAAAGGTTGTTAACTGTGACATGCTCGGGGGAACCTTCACACAGAAAGAGCTGATGCCCATGGAAATGCTGTGCTAAACAAATGAAGACACCAGCTTTGTTACAACATGTAAACCGGGATTTAGCTCCTGCTAAAATACTCCATATTTCATGGCAACTCTGTTCCCTATATTTGTTTGTTCAGAGAAGGCTATTAAAATGCTGAAACTATGCCCCTAACTATTCCTTCAATTACTCAATAAGGCCTCTGAGAAGAAGCTGGCCTCAGTGAGCGTACACCCAGTGTCCTTGGCTCCCACCAGATGTCTTGGCTCTGAGCTGGTTCCTGAGAGCCTCTCCTTCTATGTCAAAGAAATCTCACCCTTGCCCTCACTAGAACCCGGCATGATGGGTGCCCTGTTGAGTGACCTTGGATACATTACTGAATTGTGGGAACTGTGGGGAGGATAGCTGGTCAGCACATGTGAAGCCCTCAAGCTGGTACCTGCTCTGCCAGAGGGTCACCCAGTCACTATGAGGGAAAGAGGAAAGAATGCTGGTAAGAAAAATTTACTTGCATGTGTGTGCAAGCGCTTAAAAATACTTCCATGCAAATTCCTTTCTGGAAATCACTTCCGTCTGGCTAATCTAACTCTCATCTGCCTTCCTGTCACAAGTCTCAGGTTCTGATGTGCTACTTGAAATCTGCCTGCTATCCGATGTGAGGGAAAGATGAGGGAGCCACGCCCTTTGGTTGGAAGCTGGGTATCACGTAAGGGAGTTCTGGAACCCAGGATCATAGCTGCAAGGCACAGCCAGCAGGACTCCCTATGTGCAGTGCCAGGGTGGGCAGAAAAGGAGATCGTCAGGTGTGACCATCTGCCATGCCCCACACCTACCCTTATGGCAGTGTCTCCAGACTTCAGGTACACAGAACTCATCTGGGGACATGTAAAGTAAAAGAGCAAGCCCCTCCTGAGGGTTCTCAATGGGGTCTGAGGAAGGCTCAGGTTTTGTATTTTATTTATTTATATTAATTATTTTTGTTACAGATGTGTGTCCTTTTACCCCCACTGACACCCTCCTCCCGATCCCCCACCCCCCAACAACGGCACTGCTGTCTATGTCCATTGGTTATACATATATGCATGTAAGTTCTTTGATTTATCTCTTCCCTCCCTCCCCGGCCGGTCCCCTCCTCTTAGGTTTGTCAGGCTGTACCCTACTTCTATGTCTCTGGGTCTATTTTGTTCATCAGCTTATTTTGTTCATTATATATACCACAAATAAGTGAGATCATGTTTTTCTCTAATTGGTTTATTTTACTTAGCATACATAATACTCTCCAGGTCCATGTCGTCTCATAGGGTTAGAGATCTTTCTTTCTTACAGCTGTATAGTATTCCACTGTGTATATGTACCACAGCTTTTTTATCTACTCATCTATTGATGGACATCAGGTTTTGTATTTTAAATAGGAATATTAGGTGATCGAGTAGAGAAATAATTCCTTCAAGAAACATTACATTTTTGTTTCCTCACCCGAGGATATTTTTCTATTTATATTCAGATAGAGTAGGAAGGAAGGAGAGAGAGATAGAAACATCGACGTGAGAGGAACACATTGACTGGCTGCCTCCTGAATGATCCTGACCAGGGCCAGGGACGAACCACAACTGAGGTATGTGCCCTTGACTGGAATCAAACCTGCAACTCATTGGTCTATGGACCGATGCTATCTCTAACAGAGCCAAACCGGCCAGGGCAAGAAACATCACATTTTTGAGTTTCAGGTATTGGGCACAAAATACTGAGAAAAGAATAGAAGACAACCACTTACTTGGTGGTGACCAATTACCTCCAGCAGGTAATTCCTACCTGCTAAGAGAAAAGCAAAGGCCTGCCTATCAGCAACACTAGAGGCTCATGACATTCAAGAGGGACTGGGGTCAGTGAATAATTTAACAGCTAGAAGTGCAAGGGTCACAGGGAAGGCCTCTCTCCAGGGGTGTACTCCTCTGACTCCTCTGAATGTGTATGGGAATGAGTCTTATAGAATGACACCCGGGACAACAAAAGCAAGGTATCTCTTCAGCAGTCAGGGACAGAAAGGTATTTAAGCAAATGAATTACAAATATTACAAAATTTCTTAGCATTCAATATTTCATCAAATGAGGTTACAGGTCAGAAGACAAGATACACAGAAGCTTACATCCAAACCTAAAGCCATTCTGTGTTCTGAGGTGACAAGTGGGAGCTACCAGCCCTTCCTGCCACGCGCATGCTCTGCTCTGCACAGATGCTTGCGGCCCAGGGCCCAACGGTGCTTGTGCAGCGCCTCCATCTACCAGCACGCAGGGAAATTTCAGCTCCACAGCCAAGGGGGCATGTGGGGTACAAAGGAGGTGGTCAGCCATGCAGGTGTGCTCTCGCATGTGGTCAGGTGTCTGGCCCAGAGGGGCTCGGCAGAGGGGAGTGAGCCTGGGGCACTGACAGGAGGACAGCAGGAAGGGAGTTGGGCCAGGGGTGAAAGGAGAGCCTGGGTGAGTCTGCACTTTGTACATGTCCTGTGCAAAATCTCCTCAAAATGAGCTGGTATTGCCTCTGTGCAGTCCTACTTTGTGGACGGCCACTGGGAGCTGTCTTGGCTTCCCCTGACTGTCTTCCCATAGCGAGGGAATATAAACCCCGACTCTGGCGACCAAGATCACTGCTCTGACATCTGCTGATTGCTCCCCAGGCCCACCATAAGGACCTCTTCCTGGGAGACAGCCCAGGCTGAGAACAAAGGGTGGGGGGCTATAGAGGGGGCAGACATCATAGGAGAGTTTGCCTTGGCCATCCACCAAGACAGGTCAAAGCATGTCAGGAGCCAGTGGTTAGTCAAGTATGGAGAAGGGGGCTCTGGGAGAACCTGAAGGGGCCCCCACAGGGTCAAAGCTGTAATAAAATAACTTGGAAACCATGAAGTGCATGGCCTCCCTCACTGAGGCCCACTCACCATCCGCACGCGCTTCAGTCGCTCCTCTAGCTTCTCCTCTGCCTCCCGAGTCCGCTGAACAGCCTCCAGGCGGTGGATGAGCTCTGCAGCAAACTTCTGGGGCTCCACGCGAATTTCCTTTGGTATTCGGTAAGTACGCTGCAAAGAGACACAGCTGATTAGCTGGCTGTGCACAGCTTTGAACAACTGTTTTCCGTGCCAAAGTGGTTTTCAAGCACTTTTTGGGTAGGAGAAAATAATGTTAAATCTGAATTTTATTTTAAAGTATTTACTTTCCCCCCCTTTCACCTAGGAATCAACCTCCTCACTGCCCCCTTTTTCCACGAGACTAAATCTCTTCTTCACCCAGCCCTGATCTAGGGATGAGAATAGAGTACCTATTCCCATGGCCACAGAATCAGAGACAATGAGCAGCGCAGAACTTGGCCTCCTGGGGTAAGGTCACCAGGGTATTGGTCAGCTGGGGCCTGTGCGTATGCCCTGTACAGAGGCAGACTGCTCCCAAAAAGGGCTTCAAATACATTGGGCCAGGCTGAGACCTAGTGAGGCCTGGGGCCTGGGGAGGCAGAGCTGCAAAGACCACAGAGAAGGGAAAGGCAAGACTGATCTGCTCCTTGCAGTGCCCGCTCTGCACACAAGAGGGCAGCAGCCCCTAGTGCTTAGGTGTGCATGGACCAGGCTGTTGCAGGGTTGGGGGACAAAGTTCAGGGTACAGAAAAAAAATCAGGGGACGAATGGAAGACAAAGAAGGATTTTCCTTTTCAGATAACAGAGTTCTGCAATGTATTTTATAGTGATACACTATATAACTTTTGGGGAAATAGCTTTATTTTGAGGTAATTTCAAATTTAAAAGTTGCAAAAACAGCACAAGAATTTCTGTCCCAGATTTCCAATTACTGACATTTCTCTCACACTGTCATCCTCTCTCTCATACATAGACACACGCAATTCTCTGAGCCAGTCAAGAACAAACGGCACATATGATATCTGTTCACTCCTGAACACTTTGAGTATATTTAACAATAACCCAGGGCATTCTTATACTTATAACAGGACAATTACTAAAAAAAAAAAAAAAAAAAAAAAAAAAAAGAACCCTGATATAATACCACTACCTAATTAGCAGATCTTATTCCAATTTCACCAGCTGTCCCAATGTCCTTTATAGAAAAACATATTTTAAAAATCTAAGCCACCAAGGTATAAGTGAAGGAGGACCGAGGAGGAAGAGGGTCTGGAGGGGCCTCAGATAAGGCAGGAGGACAGGTGGAAGAAAGAGGTAGCCTGGGGACAGGGTGGCATACAGGACTACTCTGAGAACTCAGAGGATGGACAGAGGCTATTTAGAACCCTGACCTTCAGATGTGGAACAAGGCAAAGAGCAAAGACTCAGGGTGAGGGCGGGAGCCTGAGGGGAGGCAGTGTCTCCAACAGCCTTTTGTTGGTGGGCTCTGGGCACAGTCTCTAGACTGCCTACCTGTTTCTTATCTGCGAAACAGGAGTAAAGACAATACTCAATACTACAGAAACTTATTAAATTAGGTAAAAAAAATTATGTGAAGGGCTCAGAGACAAACGTCCATGTGTGGGGCTGATGCTGACCAAAGATGAATTCAGAGGTGGCCAAAGAAACTTCTGAGGGGCCTGGAGTGGTTAAGGGGCTGAGGGCAAGCCAGGACACAGGCCAATGCTTCAGGGGTGGAAAAAAATTGGTGTGGAAGGCCTGGTGGTGTCCAACACCAGGCAGGACTCTGTGTAAAAGCTGAGGAGACCAGACCCTAGGAGAAGAGTTAGTCAGGGTGTCCAGTGCTTCTAGATCAGTGGTTCTCAACCTTCCTGATGCCGCGACCCTTTAATACAGTTCCTCATGTTGTGGAGACTCCCAACCATAAAATTATTTCCGCTACTTCATAACTGTAATTTTGCTACTATTACGTCTTAGGCGACCCCTGTGAAAGGGTCGTTCGACCCCCAAAGGGGTTGCGACCCACAGGTTGAGAACCGCTGCTCTAGAGGGTCCTGGGAGAGGAGCCTGGGAGAAAAGGCCGGCATGAATGGCAAGCCCCAGGGCAGTGGAGGAGACCCTGGAAAAAGCAGGGCATTTAAACAGACAACAGAGGCCAGTTCTTATGCAATATGGCTACTTGGGCTGTGTCGTGGCAACATCCCTGGCAGGAGGCATTGGGGGCACTGAGCCCTTCTCACTCTCCTCGCAGCGGCAGTGTCCATCTGTCCTGACACTGATGATAGCACCTGACCCCTGACTCAGAAGGGCCTGGCAGGTCCTCCTCAAACGTTACTTTTTCCCATTGTGACTAAATGTTTTGTGAGGGGTTATTCGGGATAATGTAAATATCTTGTTCCTCATCAAACTCTCAACTCATACGTCATGTCAGTATGGATGCATGGATTCCGAATTCACTGCCACTAACTTTGAAACTCCAGCTGTCTAGGCCTGGGGTGGCAAAAGGCTCTCTAAGCAGCTCCTATGTGCCCTTACTCCCTTAATTTTTGGGACACAAGATGCCCAGGCTCCTCCTCTGCACCCTGCACTCAGCCCTGATCTTGAGTTTAAACATCCACTAAGCAGAGCTGAGAAGACACGTGCACCACTGTAGGACAAGGAGGAGATGTGTGCAGTCACCACCTGAGCTCAGGCTCAGACTGCTCCAGATGACACGAGTGAAGCTGGATGCTTCCCAATTCACTTGCAGCACACACACGCATGTGTACATGCACACACATGTGTACACACACTCCACCCAGAGTGTCTTCCACTTTTCCCTAAGCAGACTCCATTAGTGCCTAGCTTGGGCCAAATCTGAGCCAAGGGTTAGCTGCCAGGTAACAAAAAACTTGAACATCATTTTCTCAGAAGTAAGGACAAACCAACATCCTTTCTTCTCAACCATAAACAATCACTTTTCTTATGTGGAAATTAAAGTATCTGCAGAGACTCTGATCAAGGAATCCCGATTAAGGATGGATGTATCCTGATCCCAAGAAACAACCACTTTACCTGCACAGAAACCACAAATGAACGGCCTGGTCGCCCTCAGACACTGCAGGTACCAATGGATTGGAGCCTCTACTCTAAGCTTTTCTCAGCTTCCCCTAAAAGTCTTCCCATTCAAAGTCACTGTGTCAAAATAAGGAAAACTAGTCATTCTGTTCATCAACAAAGGAACTCTCTGCAGGTGGAGATAGGCTGTGCCCAGCCTGCTCAGTGCTGGGCTCTGTGAACCCCCACAAGCAGGAGAACTGCTATCACCTTTTTATTTTTATTGAGGTAAAGCAGAGGCAGCTTTGAAGTCAGGATGCCCATGTGGTAACTCCCACCATTCAGCCACAGAAAGGCTGATGCCTCTTTTCATCTTGAACAAGGCAGTGCTCACAATAACTCAGGACGGGGGTACCAAGAGGCGTCGCCAGGCTTTCTGACAGAGCCACAGGCAGGCAGCTGTGCAAGGGTCAGGCCTGGGCATTGAGCCTGTGACAGAGGCTTACAGCTGCTCTCCTACCTCAAGGAGAGAAGCACCTCACTTGACAATGAGAAAAGACTGCATGGTAGAAGGGCAGTCTGTTCTCTTCTGAACTGACCGTGTGGGCAGGGTCCTACAGGCCACTCCCTCCAGCCTGCAAGGCATGACAAGTGTGACCACAAGCTATACCTGGACGTGAGCTGAGCTCACAGAAAGTCAAGCAGGCGCCTTTCCCACTGGCCATGGCCACAGCAGCCCAGTCAGAATGGGGAAAACAAGGGAATGGGTCTGAGAGGACTGGTGAACCCCAAACTAAGAGACAGGGAGGGTGAGGGCTGTGCAGCAGAACTTACAGGAATGTGAGGTAGAGGCACTCGCCCATTGACCTGGACGCTCTCCTGCATCTCTCGGCGGTGCTGCTTGCGGATCCTGTACGGTGGGATCCCATCCCTGCCAGAAGAAAACAGCCTGGTGTGAGTGCACACAGAACAGTTCCACGAAGCACAGCTGTGCTGGCTTTGCCATGGGTGGGGTCCATGTGGCTTGTTTTTCTAAGGCCTAACAATTAAGAAATAATTTTACTTTTTTGTTGTTTATCTTCACCCAAGGATATTTTTTCCATTGATTCTTAGAATGGAAGGAAGGTGGGGGAGAGAGAGAAAGAAACATCGATGTGAGAAACACACTGACTGGTTACCTCCTAAACATGCCCCAGGGACAGGCCAGGGACAGAAATCGAACCCGTAAGCCAGGGACATGTCCTTGACCAGGGATCAAACCAGTGACCCTTTTAGTGCTCGGGCTGACACTCTAACCACTGAACAACGCTGGCCAGAACAGGTTTTACTTTTTTTTTTTTAAATCCTCACCCAAGGATATTTTCCCATTTATCTTCAGACAGAGTTGGGAGGGAGAGAGCAAGAAAGAGAAACATCGATGCGAGAGAAACACTTGACTGGCTGCTTCCTGCACAACCCAGACCAGGGCTAGGGACTAAACCACAACCGAGGTGCATGCCCTTGACCAGAATTGAACCTGTGACTCTTTGGTTCCAGGGCCAATGCTCCAACTGCTGAGCCAATCCAGCCAGGGCGGTTTTCACATTTTTTAAAAATTTTATTTTAATTAATTAATTAATTTATTTATTTATTTATTTATTTATTTATATTTTGAGAGGGAGGGAGAGATGCTCCAACTGCTGAGCCAATCCAGCCAGGGCGGTTTTCACATTTTTTAAAAATTTTATTTTATTTTATTTATTTATTTATTTATTTATTTATTTATTTATTTATATTTTGAGAGGGAGGGAGAGAGGGAGGAAGAGAGAGAGACACACACACACGAGTGGTTGCCACCCACACTATCGCAACCAGGGCCAGGGATAAAATGCAACCGAGGTACGTGGTGACCCTAGTGGGAACTGAACCTGGGACTCTCAGGTCCGCAGGCCGACGCTATAACTGCTGAGCCAAACCGGCCAGGGCAGTTCTCACATTTTTATTTATTTTTTATTTTTTAAATTATTTTTCCTTTATTGATTTTAGAGAGAGAGTAAGGGAGAGGGAGAGAGAGATAAAAACATCGATGAGATGGAACATTGATTAACTGCTTCCCGCGTGTCTCCCACTCTAGGGATCGGGCACAACCTGGGCATGTGTCCTGACTGGGAATCGAACCAGTGACCTCTTGGTGCACGGGTCGACGTTTAACCACTGAGCCACACCGGCTGGGCGGTTTTCACATTTTTAAAGTGGGGGGAGAAATATGTGACAGAGAGCATTTGGTCACAAAGCCTAAAATATTTACTACTGGTTCTTATAGAAAACATTTGCAGATCCCTGCTTTATCAACCAGGCAGGACTTAGTGTGTCTATCTGGGAGGGGCGCTCTACGCAGATGGAAAACATGTGAGGGCTGCAAAATGGGCAGCCAAAACAATCTAGATCATAGTGAAACAGATTTCTAATGTTCATTATCTGCTTTCTTCCAGGGTAAATTTGACAAGCAGTGTACTCTTTCAAGGGTGTTCAAATTAGTTTTCTTGACATAAGTTTTAGCTATGAAGATTTAATTTCTGAAGATTATGATAAAAATATAAATCAAATTATATATTGTCTTTAAGATAATTAAATACACTTACTCAAGATCAATGCCAGATTTAAAGCATAATTCACTGCACGTATGCAATCCTTAAAAACTCTCCAGCCCCCTCCCTGCCATTAAAAGCTACTCTGGGGAGCACAGCAGCTACCAGGAGACAGAGTGGGAGATGCCCACCATACCAGGATGACTAGAGTGGCTTCTCTTTCTTTCTTCTTTTTTTTTTAATCCTCACCCGAGGACATTTTCCCATTTTTTTGTTCAGGTAGAGTGGGAGGGAGAGAGAGGAACAGAGAGAGAGAGAGAAACATCGATGTGAAAGGAACACATCGAGTGGCTGCCACCCGCACGACCGACCAGGGCCGGGGACAAACTGCAACCGAGGTACGCGCCCCTAGCGGGAACCGAACCCGGGTCTCTCAGGACCGCAGGTTGATGCTCTAACCACTGAGCCAAACCGGCCAGGGCTAGAGTGGCTTCTCTGGGCTCCCACTCCCTCCCCATTGAAAGAGCCCCAGGAGGGGACTTCCTGCTCTCCAAGGTGCAGTGAATGTCTGTATGGGATTCTGAACCCCTCAACTCCTTCCCACGCACTGCCCACTGGGGAAGCCACGCTGCCAGCACAGCACTGCTCTTACTGTATGGGGACAAACATGCAGTCAGGATGATTCTAACCCCACTTGAACGTATGAATAGCCTAGTGAAGCTGCCACCTTGCCCCTTAAAGACACATTATAAGACACTTGTGGTGTGTCGTGACCCCTGTCCCAGACAGTGGCACAATTGCCAGCTCAGCAGCTTCATTGGAAGGTAGGGCTGTAACATTCTCCTCAGAGCTCTGGTCTGGGTGGAAAAGATTAAGGTTCAGAGCAGGGCAGAGAGAGGCTGTGATGGCCTCTCCCTCCTATCACTGCCTCGGTATCCCTGGTTATCAGGGTACCAGATGGGTACTGCAGTACAGTTGGCTCAGCGATCTAATGGGGGTAGGGGCATTCAAGGGAACAGGTGTCAAGGAACAAGTGCATCGGATACATTTAAAACATGTTTACATGTCCTTAGGGGTTTGTTCAGATGTCCTGAGCCACCAATTTCTTGGTTTCTCCATATACTTTAACAGGACACTTAAAAATTCCTCTATGGAATTAGGCAGTGTCCTTAGACAAGTATGTCCAAAGTACATGAACTACTAAGGTGGTCCGTTGTTTTTGTCATGTGGTTGAAATGCTGAGTGCAATAGCCCCCACAACAATTTAGATAAAACACATGATCCTATTTTTTGCATCTAACATGTATTCAAGTATGTCATAATTTTACATTCCAAATTCTTGACTATTCCTACCTTTCTGATTCTCAGTATAAACGAAGATGAACAGAATTATCAGGGGAAAAATATTTTTAAATTTTTACATCTTCCCTTTAGCAAACATATTTTCTTGGAGAGAATTAAGATACTTTTCAAGAAAATTGAAAAATGGGTAGACAGATTAACTTTCATTTTAGTAACAGAGTATTGGGGGAGAGGAAAACCAGATACTACAAATGGTATCCATCTTGTGCTTCCAGCCACATGTGGATGTCTGCGGAGCTGCAGCTAGCCATAACCATTTTATATGATACTTTATATTCATGGCAGATACTGTTTGAAATCCCAGAAATTTCAAGTAAGAAGTTGCTAAAAACATGTCAACATTTTATCTTACAGATTCAAAATAAAGGAATATAAATATGCACAACCAATGGACACAGACATTAGGTTGGGGAAAGCAGAAGGGGGTGGGTGGGAGTGGGAACGGGTGGGGGTCAATGGGGAAAAAAGGAGGACATCTGTAATACTTTCAATAATTAAAATTTTTTTCTACAGAAAAAAATAAAAATTTTGGATAGGTTGTTCTCTGAAAAAAATAAAAATAAAATAAAGGAAAATAAAATGGTCCATGAGACACTCCTGAAGGAACAGATCCATCTAGTGATGTCACTGCATGGTCATTGAAAGGGGAGAAAGAGACCAAGACTTGCAATGATTGGGGACTGGCTAAGTTTGGTTCAGAAATAGCTTATGATAACCTACCTTGTACACTAAAATTGAGGTGTCAGAAGAATACTTAAAGACACAGGTAAATAATGGGCAGAGAACCTGAATAGACACTTCTCCAAAAAAGGTATACAAATGACCAAGAGACATATGAAAATATGCCCAATGTCACTAATCATTAGAAATGCAAATTAAAAGCACTATGAGCCCGGCCGGTGTGGCTCAGTGGTTGAGCGTCGACCCATGCACCAAGAGGTTGCTAATTCGATTCCCGGTCACAGCACATGCCCAGGTTGCGGGCCCAATCCCCAGTGGGGGACATGCAGGAAGCGGCCAATCAATGTTCTCTCTAATCAATGTTTCTATCTCCCTCTCCCTATCCCTTCTTCTCTAAAATCCATGAAAAAAAAAAGCATTGTGAGATATCACCTCGCACCTGTCAGAATGGCTATCATCAATAAATCAACTAACAAGTGTTGGCAAGGATGTGGAAAAAAAGGAACCCTTGAGCAGCCACTATGGAAAACAGTATGGAGGGTCCTCAAAAAATTTTAAATGAAACTGCCTTATGATCTAGCATTTTCAGTCTTGGGTATATATCTGAAGAAACTCAAAATGCTGATTCAAAAGAATATATATACACCCTTATGTTCATAGCAGCGGTATTTACAATAGCCAAGACCGGGAAGCAACCCAAGTGTCCATAAATAGACAAGTGCATAAAAAAGTTGTGGTATATTCTCTCTTTCTCCCATTTTTTCATGTGGGAGTCAACCAAATTTTCAGTGGCCTTGCTTCAGAAAGGCAGATTATATTTAAAAAAAAAAAAAAAGTTGTGGTAGCCCAGGCCGGTTTGGCTCAGCAGTTAGAGTGTTGGCCCGTGGTCCAGAGAGACCTGGGTTCGGTTCCCACTAAAGGCACATACCTTGGCTGCAGTTTGTCTCTGGCCCAGGTTGAGGTCGTGTGGGTGGCAGCCACTCGATGTGTCTCTCTCACATCAATGTTTCTCTCTCTCTCTCCCTCCTGCTCTATCTGAAGATAAATGAAGAAATGTCCTCGAGTGAGGATTAAAAAAAAAAAAGGTTGTGGTACACAATGGAGTATTACTCAGCCATAATAAAAGAATGAAATCTTACCATTTAGGACAGCATGGTTGGATCTAGAGGGTATTACGCTAACTGAAATAAGTCAGAGAAAGAAAAATACCATATGATTTCACTTATATGTGGAATCTAAAGAACAAAATAAACTAACAAACAAAACAGAAACAGACTCACAGATACAGAGAACAGACTGATGGTTGCCAGAGGGGACGGGGGTTGGGGGACTGGATGAAAAAGGTAAAGAGCCCTGGCCAGTTTGGCTCAGCAGTTGAGCATCGGCCTGCAGACCAGAGAGTCCCAGGTTCGGTTCCCGCTAGGGACACATATCACAAAAAAAAAGAAAAAGGTAAAGAAATTAAGACCTTGGTAGTTACAAAATAGTCAAGAGATGTAAAGTACAACACAGAAAATATAGTTAGTAATACTGTAATAACTATGCATGGTGCCAGTGGGTATGGAATGTCGGGGGGAACAGTGGGTAAAGTATATGACTGTTACCTTGGCTGGTGTCACTCAGTAGTTAGAATGTCAGCCCAGGGAACAAAGGGTTGAAGGTTCGATTCTCAGTCAAGGGCACATACCTGGGTTGCATGTTCAGCCCTGGCTCTAGTTGGGGCGCATGTGGGAGGCAGCTGAATGATGTGTCTTCTCTTTCTCTCCACCCCATCCCCCAATTCCTTCCCTTCCACTGTCTCTGGAAATCCATGTAAAAAATATCCTTGATGCCCTGGCTGGTTTGGCTCAGCACTTAGAGCGTCAGCCTGCGGTCCAGAGAGACCCGGGTTTGGTTCCCACTAAGGGCACGTACCTCGGTTGTAGTTTGTCCCTGGCCCTGGTTGGTCGTGCGAGTGGCAGCTACTTGATGTGTCCCTTTCATGTCGATGTTTCTCTCCCTCTCTCTCCCTCCCACTCTATCTGAACAAAGAATGGAAAAGTGTCCTTGGGTGAGGATAAAAAAAAAAAGAAAAGAAAAAGAAAGGCTTATTAAGCTCTGGCTGGTTGCTCATCGGTTAGAGCGGTGGATTCCCGGTCAAGGGCATGTACTTGGGTTGCAGGTTCGATACCAAGCCCTGGTTGGGGTTGTTTGGGAGGCAACCAACTGATGTGTCTCTCTCTTTTTTTTTTTTTTAAATTTTATTTATTCATTTTTTGGTACGTGCCCCTAGCGGGAACCAAACCTGGGACTCTCTGGTCCGCAGGCCAATGCTCCAACCGCTGAGCCAAATCAGCCAGGGCTGATGTGTCTCTCTTGCACCAATGTCTCTCCCACTCCCTCCCTTCCACTCTAAAAAAAAAAATCAGTAAGATATCAAAATAAAAACAAAACAAAATCAATAGCAAAATATCTACGGGTGAGGATTAACAAAAAAATAAAATAGCCCGGCTGGTGTAGTTCAGTTGCTGAGCGTCAACCCATGCACCAAGAGGTCACCAGTTAGATTCCTGGTCAGGGCACATACCCAGGTTGTGGGCCCGATCCCCAGTGGGGGGCATGCTGGATGTGGTCAATCAATGTTCTCTCTCATCAATATTTCTATCTCTCCCTTCCTCTCTCTCTAAAAATCAATAAAGAAGAAAAATTCATCCAGCTGGTATGGTTCAGTGGCTTAGCGTCGACCCATGCACCAAGAGGTCACCAGTTCAATTCCCAGTCAGGACACATGCCCAGGTTGTGGGCCCAATCCCCAGTGGGGGGCATGGTGGAGGCGGCCAATCGATGTTCTCTCTCATCAATATTTCTATCTCTCCCTCTCACTTCCTCTCTCTCTAAAATCAATACAGAAAAAAAAAAAAATTCAGTGAGTATATACTCTAAATGTGCATGTTAAAAAAAATAAAATACAAATGGCACATTAAGTGGGACACAATTTATTTATTTATTATTATTATTTTCTTAATTCTCACACGAGGATATTCTTCCATTGATTTTTAGATATTTAGATAAAGTGGGAGGGAGGAAGCAGAGGAGAGGAAGAAAGAAAGAGAGAGAGAGAGAGAGAGACACACACACACACACTGACTGGCTCCCAACTGGGGCCAGAGGTTGAACCTGCAACCAAGGTACAAGCCCTTGACCAGGAATCAAACCCATGACTCTTCGGTCCAAGAGCCAGTATTCCAACCAGTGAGCCAAAATGGCTAGGACTAGGTGGGACACAACTTTATTTTTTTAAAAAACATTTTTTTTTCTTACTGATTTTAGAGAGAGAGGACAGGAGAGGGAGAGAGTGATAGAAACATTGATAAGAGAGAGCACTGACTGGCTGCCTCCTACATGTCCCCCGGGGACTGGGTCCACAACCTGGGCATGTGCTATGACCCGGATTCGAAATGCCAACCTCTTGGTGCATGCATTGACAAGCCACTCCAGCCAGTGGAGACACAATTTTAAAGTATGTGTTCACCTACAAAAATATGGGTTTAGTAGCCCTTTTTTCTTCTTATTTAAATCTATGATTCCTAGCCCTGGCCAGTTTTGCTCAGCGGTTAGAGCATCAGCCTGCGGTCCAGAGAGACCCGGGTTTGGTTCCCATGAAGGACACGTACCTCGGTTGCGATCTGTCCCCGGCCCTGGTTGGGTTGTGCAGGGGGCAGCCACTCGATGTGTCCCCTTCACGTCGATGTTTCTCTCTCGCTCTCTTCCTCTCTTTCCCTCCCACTCTATCTGAACAAAACATGGAAAAATGTCCTCGGGTGAGGATTAAAATAAATAAATAAAATAAATCTATGACTCCTCCAACTTTCACATGAAATAACAAGCTAAATGAGAAAGAAGTCTCCCTGTGACCAGCTGATAGTTTGTTGCCCCAGCCCAGCTAGGAGTCCTAGCCACGACCCTATAAGGTCTCAGTCTTGTGGAGAAAGAACCCTGCAGTCAGGCCCTGGCCAGTTTGGCTCAGCAGACAGAGCCTCGGCCTGCGGTCCGGAGAGACCCGGGTTTGGTTCCCGCTAAGGGAACATAACTCGGTTGCAGTTTGTCCCTGGCCCTGGTTGGGTCGTGTGGGTGGCAACCACTTGATGTGTCCCTTTCACATCTATGTTTCTTTCTCTCTCTCCCTTTCTCCCACTATCTGAACAAAATATTGAAAAATGTCCTCAGGTGAGGATAAAAAAAAAGGAACCCTGCAGTCAGTCAGTGGGCTCACACCTGCTCACTGTCATGGCTAAAGGCTTCCTGGCCCTGAGGCTGGAAGGTACTTAGAAGTCAGCCCCCACCCCTAGGTCCTGACCCTGAGCAGATATTTTCCATCAGTGCTGGTCAGATGCAAATGGCAAAAAGACCAAGGGCTAGGCAAATCTGACATCATGCGCAGCAAGGTCAAGACCCCAAATGACCTCAGTGGGTGGCACAGGTAATGTTCTGATCTAGTAAGACAGTATTTGACACCATCAAGCTTTTACTGTGCACTTGTGTCCCAACAAGCCACTTGCCAACATGAAGAAAGTGTCAGGAAAACAAGCAATTTCCCCAAAGGGAGGGCTTCCCTGGAGAAGACAATGATAAATTTGCTGTCACCACTGAGGGACACAGAGGCCTTTGGACATGTGAAGCCCCAGTTGCAGTTTCTGAAACATCCAGACACTAAACCAGCACAGAACCATGCTGCACCAACTTCCTCTCTTGCTCCCATTTCCCTACCCCCCTCCCATGGTGAGATGATAAGAACTGCTCACCTGTATGGTAATTTCTAAATTTATTTTATGGATTATTATTGTTTTTAAGTATGTTTTCACTTTTTTTTTTTTTTAAAGAGAGAGAGAGAGAGAAACATCAATGTGAGGGAGATACATAGATTGGCTGCCTCCTGCACGCCCCATACTGGGGATCGAGCCCGCAACAGGGGCATGTGCCCTGACTGGGAATCAAACTAGGACTTTTCAGTCCATGGGATGACTCTCAATCCACTAAGCCACACCAGCTGGGGTATTATTTATTTATTTTAGATAGAGTGGGAAGGAGGAAGGGAGAGGGAGAGAGAGAGACAGAGACAGAGACACAGAGAGAGAGAAACACTGATGTGAAAGACATTGATTGGTTGCCTTCTGCATGACCCCAACTGGGGCCAGGGATCAAACCCACAACCCAGGCATGTGCGCTTGACTCGAATCAAATCAGCAAATCTTTCTTCCACAGGCTGACGCTCTAACCACTGAACTAAACTGGCCAGGACACAATTTCTAAATTTAAAAAACTGACAAGTGCAGAAGAGTGTCGACAAGAATGCACCTGTACAGCAGTGTAGCCTTTCAGGGATGGCACCAAGGTCACATCTGCCTGGCTGCGAACCAGTGCTGATCTTTAAAGTGAACCACCAGATTATAAAAACCAAAGAGAACATCAGAACCAAAGTGCTCCAGCCTAGGTAGCCCTGGAATTTGTTTAAACGTTACCCCATGGTTTCTCCTCTTTCAAAGGTTACTGTAGCATCAGCCTCAGAGAGAAGCAACTAACAAAAAACTCAATTCTAGTTTATGTGAGGATGGTTTTTTAATATGTTTTTATTGATTTCAGACAGATGAAGGGAGAGGGAGAGAGAGAGAAAAACACCAATGAGAAACACTGATTGGCTGCCTCCTGCACACCCCCTACTGGGGATCAAGCTCACAACCTGGGCATATGCCCCAAACAGGAGTCGAACTGGCGACCACCCAGTGCATAGCATAACGTTCAACCAACTGAGCCATACCAGCTGGGCTATGTTAGGATTTTTTTTTTTAATCCTCACTCGAGAATACATTCCATTTATCTTCAGCTGGGGGGTAGGGGTACTGGTTGCCTCACGCAGGAACCCAACCAGGGCCAGGGACCTAACTGCAACTGAGGTTACCTGCCCTTGATCAGAATCGAGCCCACAACTCTTTGGTTCATGGGTGGACACTCTAACTGCTAAGCCAAACTGGCCAGGGTTATGTTAGGATTTTTAATGATACTTCCTGCAACACAGCTGGTCTGTCTATACACCAGATGTACTAACATCAAGTTGGGAGAAGGGACACAAGTCACTTTCAATGCAGACAAAGCCCCAGCTGGGACTGGCACAGGCTGCTGTGCTCCACGAGGGCTGCACTCACCCAGGCAGGGGAGACTTACACACTGCTGTCAGTGAGGGACAGGCTGTCCGCATCGCTGGAGAGGCTCTGCTGCTCACTGTCATTGGTGCTGGTGGCCGGAGCAAGGGCATAGCCAGAGTTGACGTAGTAGGGGTTGACAGGTTCCCGCCAGGATCCATATCTGCAAACAAGGAAGGCATGTCAGCAGCAGCAACATCTTTCTACATTAATCCACATTTTCAGAATCATACGGATATTCTTACATATGAACTACAAATGCAAACAATTCAAGAAAGACAGTAGATCAAACAACAAGTGTTGGCGAGGATGTGGAGAAAAGGGGACTCTAGTACACTGCTGGTGGGAATGCAGACTGGTACAGCCACTATGGAAAACTCTATGGTGTTACCTAAAAATTAAAAACTGAATTGCCATTTGACCCAGTAATCCCACTTCTAGGAATATACCCTACGAAGCCTGAAACACCAATCAGAAAGAATATATGTACTCCCATGTTCATAGCAGCCCTATCTACAACAGCTAAGATCTGGAAACAGCCCAAGTGTCTATCAGTAGACGAATGGATAAAAAAGCTGTGGTACATATACACAATGGAGTACTATGCAGTTGTAAGAAAGAAAGATCTCTTATCCTTTGAGACAATATGGAGGGATCTAGAAAGTATTATCCTAAGCAAAACAAGCCAAGCAGAGAAAGACAAATATCACATGATATCATTTATTTGTGGAATATAATGAACATAACAGTCTGAGGAATAGGGTAGACCCAGAGACGTGGAAGTAGGGTACAGACTGACAACCTTCAGAAGAGGAGATGGTGGGGGGCGGGGAGAGATAAACTACAGAACTGATATGCATGTACTCATAACCAATGGACATGGACAACAAAGCTGGGGATGGGTGGGGGGGATGGGGAGGAGGGTGTCAATGGGGAAAAAAAGGAGAAACATCTGTAACAAAAATAAATAAATAAATAAATAACAGTAGAAAGGGCTGGCATCTTCATCCTGTCTCCCACCCCACAGAGGGTTGGTCAAACCCTAGGCATATTCCAGATCTTTCTTCTGTATTTAGGCAGATGTGTAAGTGAACACACGGATTATTATTTGGGTTTGCATTTTTATGTACTGTAACTAGGAACAGGACATGGCTGTTCTGCTCTTCCTTCTTCTAAAGAGCAGACTTACCCTGGCTGGTTTGGCTCAGCGGTTGGAGCATCGGCTGGGTTCGGTTCCCAGTAGGGGCATGTACCAAAAAAATAAAATTAAATTAAAATAAAGAGCAGACTCATTTGCTGCAAAGTAAATCTGACCTCCTGGGTGTTGCAGCAGCAGCATAAACCCTGGTGCACACAAAAGCCTGATGACAGCAGACCACACTTCATGGGGGTCATGGAGCCAGCCAGGACTCCTGTGCACAAGTCTGAGAATCGCCACAGGATATAGGGGATGGTGGGGGAAGGTAGGTGTGGGTTTAATAGAGGCTTCACAATGCCCTCCAGTCACTTCCTACCAGGAGCAGTCACTCCTGGGTGGGATTCACTCCCACCAATCATGAGATTAGCCAGAAAAACTACACTACAGTTTTCATTTCCCTGATTAACAATCAGGCTGGCAGTTTGGGTGTCATTTAAATTCTTTCCTCTGTAAATTACCTATTCATGCCTTTTGCCCATTTTCTATTGTGATGTTTATGAGTTTCTTTCTTTCTTTCTTTTTTTTTTGGTACCTGCCCCTAGCAGGAACCGAACCCAGGACTCTCTGGTCTGCAGGCCAACGCTCCAACCGCTGAGCCAAACCGGCCAGGGCTCTTTCTTTTTTTTAAATCCTCACCAGAGGATATTTTTCCATTTATCTTCAAACAGAGTGAGAGGGAGGGAGAGAGAGACAGAGAAATATCAGTGTGAGAGAGACACATTGATTGGTTGCCTCCCGCATGACCCTGACCAGGGCCCGGGATCACACCACAACTGAGGTATGTGCCCTTGACCAGAAACACACCCTCAACTTTTTGGTCAGCAAGCCAACACTCTAACCGACAAGCCAAACCGGCCAGGGCAAAATCCACTCTTTTTAAAATGACATTATTCTCTGGCACTTAAAAAAAATAAAACCACCAATATCGTCACCTAACAGCCACCGTCCTGAAATTCAAATGATAACCTAAGTGCTAAACTGTTTGTTTTCCAGTTTCCTTTTTACATTTAAGGAATATTAAACTTTAGTAACTTGGGATGAACACCTATTTGGTCAAACAAACATAAATTCAAGTTAAAGAGAAAAAGGTGTCCCTGCACTTACAGCACAGAAGCCGGAGCCCACAGATCATACTGAAGAGCACACCCACCTTCGCCTCCCCACATGGGGCAGGAACCACATCAGCAGGACAGAGCCTCAGACTTTAATGCCCCCCCCCCCCCAGTATATCTGCCTTTCTCTTCTGACAGCTCCCAGACGTGCCTTTCACACATTTAGAAAATTCATCTTTATGGTGATAAGCAGGGGAAACATGGATTCTTAATTTTCTGTTCCATAGCCTCCAGTGCAGAGCAGATCTCACTATGCACATGCACTCCAAGTACACAGGGCAGCGGGAAGAAAGAAGAGAAAGGGGAAGCAATGCCATCATCAGTTTACCTTTTTAAAGTTCTAGACAGTTTAATTGGCTCTTGGGACAGGTTAGTGCTCACCTCTTGCCATGGAAAACAGAGCTGCTGGACCTTCACTGCAGGCTGATGTGACAAGGAAAATTCTGGCCAGTGACGTGTGAGAGGAAATGTCATGTGGGGGACTCCAGACCAGAGGTGGGAAAGAAGTGTGTGTCCATGCGTGCATATAATCATGTATGTGTTGGTGTGCAGACACAAACTCCCACATGAATATGCGCAAAACAAATATGGCCAATGCCCCAAGTGGTGCATCTAGGAAAATGTCCAACTCCTCTGTAGCTTTCAAAGTTCTCAGAAAAAAATCTGACAGGATCCATACAAACACACCCGCTCTCTGCTGCTGTTCAAAGGGCTTTCATTTTCTATCTTTTTACATTTAACCTTTCTATATTCCCTTACTTTGTGTTTTTTGTTAAGATCCAATCTGTTTTTTCTTTTAATTACATCACTTAGTCCTGCTGCATATAGTGTAATTACCGAGAGTGGAGCAACCATCTTAATTTGCTTTCTGTTTGTCACATCTGTTCTATTTTGTTTTGGTTTGTCTTGCCTTCTTTTTTAATCCTCACCCGAAGATATTTTTTCATTTATCTTCAGATACAGTGTGTGTGTGTTGGGGGGGGGGGGGGGGACAGCAATGCAAGAGAGACACATCGGCTGGTTGCCTCCCACACAACCCTGACCAGGGCCAGGGACCAAACCACAACCCAGGTACATGCCCGACTAGAAATGAATCCGTGACTCTTTGGCTGATGCTCTAACCATTTAGATTTGACCCATGCACCAAAAAAGCCCGGCCAGTGTGGCTCTGTGGTTGAGCATCAACCCATGCACCAAGAGGTTACCGGTTCAATTCCCGGTCAGGGCACATGCCCAAGTTGTGGGCCAAATCCCCAGTGGGGGGCATGCAGGAGGTGGCCAATCGATGTTCTCTCTCATTGATGTTTCTATCCCTCTCTCCCCCTTTCCCTTCCTTTCTCCCTAAAACCAATAAAGTGAAAAAAAAATTTTTTTTAATTTTATTTTAGAGAGAGAGGGAAGAAAAAAACACTGATGTGAGAAACAGCAAACGGCTGCCTCCTGCATGCCCCCCCAGGGATGAAACCTGGAAAAGTGGCCTGACCAAGTATCAAATCCAATGACCTTGCACAAGATGACGCCCAATCAACTGAGCCCACAATTGCCAGGGCTCGTGCCTTCTTTTTGAATTTTTTTTTAAAAATATTTTTTCTTGCCCTGGCCGGTTTGGCTCAGCGGTTAGAGCATCCGCCTGCGGTCCGGAGAGACCTGGGTTCGGTTCCCGCTAAGGGCATGTACCTCGGTTGCAGTTTGTCCCCGGCCCTGGTTGGTCGTGCGGGTGGCAGCCACTCGATGTGTCCCTTTCACATCGATGTTTCCCTCTCTCTTCCTCTCTCTCCCTCCCACTCTGTCTGTACAAAAAATGGAAAAATGTCCTCGGGTGAGGATAAAAAAAATATATATTTTTTTTCTTTATTGATTTTTAGAGAGATAGGAAGGGAGAGGAAGAGAAACATAGATGAGAGAGAACATCGATTAGCCGCCTCCTACATGCCCCCCCACTGGAGATCGGGCCCACAACTTGGGCACGTGCCCTGACTGGGAATTGAACCAGTAACCTCTTGGTGCATGGGTTGATGCTCAACCACAGAGCCACACCGGCCGGGCTTTTTTGAATATTTTTCATGTTCTATCTCCTCCCTCTAATAAAGTAACCCTTTTACTATTCTGATAGTGATTCCTGTAAAGATTACAATAGGTAGCCTTTATGTATCAAAGTCCAATTCAGTACATTTACCTCTTCCTAGGCGATAAAAGGTCAATTTCTCTCTATTCACCTCCCTCACACACTGATATCCTGTATTTACTGTGCTACTGGTATCCTGTATTTTAATTCTATATATATCTTAAACCCACAAGACATTATTAGTATTGTTTTACCAATTGAAAGTTACCTAGAGTTACCCCCATATTTGAGTTTCTACCTGAAAGCATTTTCTTTCTTTTTTTCGTTTTATTAATCCTCTCTTGAGGACATTTTCCCATCTTTGTTCAGATAGAGTGGGAGAGGGAGAGAGAGAGAGAGAGAGAGAAACATCAATGTGAGAGGGACACATCGACTGGCTGCCTTCCACATGATGCTGACCAGGGCAGGGGATGAACCACAACCAAGTTATGTGCTCTTGACCAGAATCGAACTTGCGATTCATCAGTCTGCAGGTCAACGCTCTAACCGCTGAGCCAAACCAGCCAGGGCAGCATTTTCTTTCTGCTTGAAGAACATCCTTAGGTATCCCCTTTTTATTTTTATCCTCACCTGAGGACATTTTTCCATTTTTTTGTTCAGAAAGAGAGGGAGAGAGAGAGAAACATCAATGTGAGAGAGACACATGGAGTGGCTGCCACCCGCATGACCCAACCAGGGCCGGGGACAAACTGCAACCGAGGTATGTGCCCTTAGCGGAACCAAACTCG